GAGTTGTCAATAGAAATAATATGAAACCTGTCGCAAGCAATATCTACTGTTGTTGAAGAACCTTCTCCAAACTCACCTACGTTTCCATAAGAAACAGCAGTTGTATATTCGTAAGTTCCAGGAACTATTTCTGACCTTCTAATGGCATTGTCGCATTCGTTATACCATTCGGAAACATTTCCGTTCATGGCATCCAAAACTGTTGGCGTTATATTCTGAGCGGCGTACATTTCATATGGGTAAAAATATAGAATAGTTGGATTTATTTGTCATAATTGTTTCGTACCAAGCTTTACTTTCTTCCTGACTGAGTTTTTAACTCTTCTTTTTCCTTCATTGCTACTACTTTCACTAGATGAAGTTACTTCTTCACTACTTTCACTTTGTTCTACTCTTCTCTTCTTCTTTGGTGTCGCTTTTGGTAACTTGCCCTCTGCTTCAAGTTGTTGCATCTTTGCCTCATGTTCACCTAGTATGTTGTAAATTTCCCATGTCCTTTTTGCCTTTGGGCTCTGGTCGCCCATCTCAGGTAACCTATATCCTAGAAAGATTTTGTCATAGTTTGTATTTGAGTCTTCGCGTATTGTTTGCATGACTCTTTCCTGAGTTTCCGGTTCAAGCTCTTCAAACAGAGCTTGTCCATATGGAATAAGCTCGTTTCCAAATATATGTTTTTGTAGCCATTCTGGTTTTCTTTCCATGTTACCAATAATATCTTTTGTGAATGGGAAAGCTTTTACCCAATGTTTCAGTCTTGCGTCATTTATTTCTGTAGTTTCCAAAGGAGGGACTTGTTCGTTTCCTTCAGGCTCTTCTAGCTGTTGTTGCTGAACTATTTCTTCCATGTCTGGTTGTATCTGAACTTCTTCCTGTGGAGTTTCTTGTACCTCATCTGCTGGCATTTCATATATTCCGAGACCGTTTTTAAAAAGTTCCCTATCTAAGTCATCCGGACTCATAAACCTTTCTTCTTTCGTTCCGTCTCTATTTTTTACGCGTTTCATGAAGAGAGTTGAATTATCATTTAGCTCTGACACCAAATATCTCGGAGTAAATTCAGTCATGTCATTTGGATGATATGCTATTAAATCATATCCCTTAGCGAGCTTGTATTTTCCAGGTTTGAAATTATATCCCATTTGGTGCTGAACCATAAAGCTAAATAGGTTCGGGTCAGTATTTCCTTCCTTGAACTTTCTAATAGCTTCTTTATATCTGTCACTAAAGTCAAGAGTATCTGGGTAACCATAGTCTTCCTTAAGCATTTTTAAGAATTCTTGGTTTCCTTGTTCTCTACTTCTTTTATGTCCTTGCTCTGTTTGTGGTTGTTGCTGTGCAGTGTTTTGAACTGTTGGTTGTTGCTGTGCAGTGTTTTGAACTGTTGGTTGCTGTGCAGTGTTTTGAACTGTTGGTTGTGGTGCAGTGTTTTGAACTGTTGGTTGTGGTGCAGTATTTTGAACTGTTGGTTGTGGTGCAGTGTTTTGAACTGTTGGTTGTTGTGCTGGATTTTGAACTGTTGGTTGTTGTGCTGGATTTTGAACTGTTGGTTGTTGTGTTGGTTTTGGTGCATGCCTGTGTCTGTGTCCATGTGACGATGTAAATGTTTTAGGTAGTCCTGGTGCAGGTGCTTCTCTTGGAGGGTTTGGTGGTATATAAGTTCCACCAGCTGGTATATAAGTTCCACCAGCTGGCACATATGTTCCATCTGCAGCATAATGTCCTACCTGACTTTTCGTTTTTAAGAAAGCATTTACTAGGTCTGTTTTGGTCTGTTGTAACTCTTTTTCTTGACTTTCCACAACAGTTGCTCTAACGGCGTCATAGGCACTTTGAACTGCCTGTCTCGTTGCTGCATCTGTTATTTTCGTCATATTTTGTGCTACTTCTCTTAACTCGTTGTCGAAACCTTCAGACTTCAGTTTCTTTCCAGATGAGAAGTCGTTCACTAGTTTCACCTTACTATGAAGAGCTTCGAAGGCGTTCTTAAAGTCAGCATTCATTAAAGCTTCATTTGAACTGTCTTCATCCGCTTGTATTTTTGTCCTTATTGACCCTATAAGTTGGGCTGCTTTGGCGTTGGCTTGGGCATCTAACCAGTCATTATTAGCTTTTATATATTCTGCGCTTTTCATTGCCTTTTGCATGGCTGCGTCGTTATTTTTACTTTCTTGTGCTAAGTTTTCATACTGTACGGTTTGGTTTTGCAACTGTAAAAGTTTTTCTGCCTTTACATTTGCTTCAACTTCTTTTTTATACTCATCGCTATCCATATATGTCTTCAGGGCTTTTTGTTTTATTTCTTCATCTTTCAGTACTTTATATTGAGTAGTATGGTTTTTCAAATTTATAACATCTTGTTCCATTTTTGCTACTTCTGCTGCTTTTTCTGACACTTTTTTCGCATATTCCTCTGTACTTAGTTCTTTCAGTTGTTCTTCTTTCTTCTTTTTCTCTACGTTTAACTCATTGAGTTTCTTTGTGTGTCTGTCATATTCTAGTTTCTTTTCGTTTTCACTTATTTGTTTCTGTATGTCTATGTTTGACTTTTTGACATCTGTTATTTGATTTTTGAGTGAACTCAAATTCATTTGACTTTGAGGGTTATAAGCTGTTCCGTCTGCAGCTCCACCATAGCCTGCCATTTTCGCTAAAAGTGCCGCTCTTAAACCCCCACTCTGTGCACCAATAACTCGGTTTAAAAGCATAGGGTTGCTTGACATTTGTTGCAACATAGTGGGGTCATTCATAATTTGTTGTTGCAACTGTTGTTGTGGTGTCAGTTTTACTATTGGATGTTTCAATGCTCTCTTCCTCTTACGTATATTCTTACGTAGCTTACGTGGCATTTTAAGTGAAGTTAAAAAGCGGTTTTTGACAGATGTTTATATGACACTTTTTGTTCAGCACAAAAAACTACTCGGTCAAAGTGTTGTCAGTTTTGTAAAATAACCGTCCTATCTTGTTTTAAAATGGAGAAAAGGCTTCTCAAAGTATACTTCCTTGGAACGCCGGTAACTTTTCCTGTAGCGACGTTAGACCCTTACTTGTCCGGACAAAGTTATACTAAACTTTTTATGGGCTAGAGGGCACGAAGTGCCTGGAAGGCCATCCCAAGAAAAAAAAAAACTTCATTATACTAAACATCTTCAGGGCTAGAGGGCACGAAGTGCCTGGAGGCCCCACTGCCTTTTTTTTTTTTTTTTTTTATATATATATATAAAGTATACTTTAAGAACAAACTTAATACAAAAAATTCTATGAGTCGTATTAAATCAAATAATTTAATCATTGCTGACAGATAATGAGAAGACAAAGAGTACTATCGTCAGTATCAACATACAACACAATAAACTCATCTCTTCAAGTATTATTTAACATAATCTCACTAATAATCGCAGTTATAATGACATTTCAATTTTTCTTCCAAAAAAATATCGAAAAGATTACAGAAATTAGTGCAGTATACGACAGATCTTATATCAGCGGAAATTACATTATATTTTCTTGCTCTGATTTTAATTCTTTGAATTCATTTTCTTATATCTACCTTAAAACCTATGAAAATTCCGTGGAAACACGAATAAGAGCCATAAATACTACATTGACGTACAATATTGATGAAGAATCTTACGCAACAAAACTCAAATCGCCTTGGTTTTCTTTCTCAAACATTAATATTAGCAGCTTTACTCTTGAAGTCATACTTGATAAAAATCTCGACGCAAAACTGTTCGTTGTTCAATCTTCCGACCAATTTACAGAAATTGCTGCCTTTTTACACAGAATGTTCAGACTCCTTGCTGTAGCAATACTTCTATATTACCTTTTCTATCTGGTTTTCTTTGAAGATGGAAATATTTCAGATATTCGTTTAATTTTGATCGTTTCGTTATTCTCAGTAATTCTTGCAAATATGGAATACCCGGATGCTTCAAATTATAATTACGCTATTGGAATATCCATAGGAGCCCAAATTTTCTTTTTATTTTATTGCTCTGCAAAATCACTTTACAATTTTAAGCATACGCTCTTACTAGAATTAATCTATTGCTTTGCCAATGGATTTTGCCATAACCAAAACAATAATTCAAATTTAGTCGCTACAACGATTGGTTGGCTTTCGGCTTTCCTCAATGGCTTAATTTTAGTTTCAATTGTTTATTTTACGATCGTTACCTTAACAAATGTTGATTTTACTTTATTTAATTTGATTCATTCGATTTTAAGAATGGTCATCATTATGTTTTTGGCCACATCATGGATTATTGGAATTATGGTTCCAACTTTATCAGATTCGATTCCATCAAATATTATTTCTTCTTTCTTTTATAACTATACTGTTCCTTTCTTGATTTCCATCTCTATTGTTCAAATGCATTGGTATGATTAACGGGAAGCTCTTCTTCTTTTGTTATTTTGTTTTTTTATAAAATGTATTTTATATTGATTCTATCTTTTTCACATACATGATTATTTTTATCAATGTACTGGATATTCAAACGCAGATGAATCTATTTCAAATTGGAAATTTATTAATTAACTCCAATATCATAAATCATGATACTACAGTTTATCACAAAAGCCATTTAAATAATTTTGCATTTAAATGAAGAGAATTTGATTATATTTTATGTCATCAAATTTTCCGAGTTAGCTAAGAAAATCAATGTGATATTATTAAAACATGGGGCATTTAAAAATAAGATACACTGTCAAAATGTTATGTTTCCGGTTATATTGATTAAAATCATTCTTTTATCCCCAGAAAAAAATCTGCTTGATAGATTTTACAAGAGTTTACAATTTTTATACAGGCACAAAGTTTTTAATTGAATATATCCATTTATAATTCCTTTTTTTGGAATAATATTGAGAAAATGATGCATATTTTAATAATTATTTGTGAATATAATGAGGAGAAAACAGTGTATTAAATGCAAATCATACAAACACGTTTTAAACCGCAACAACAAAAAAATAAAAACAAAATAAAAAATTAATTAATTGGAACTTGTAATAAAAGGATGCTGAAGAATCTCTTGAGCAGTGATTCTCTTCTTCGGATCGAAAACAAGCATTTTCTTCAGCAAATCCCAAAATAATGCGCTATTCGGATCTCCCTGAACGACAAAGTCATCCAATGACTTGACACCAGGGTACGTACAGTGCGTTTTGTGCTGCGGACGGTTATTTATTGCACACCAAGTAGATTCATCGATAAATGTTCCGTTTTCGAAGAATTTATCCTTCAAAGGAGCATTCTGTAACATTTCTTGAGGAAACTCGCCAATTATTCTTGACATTCTTCTCAACATGAAATTTTCATTTTCAGCCCAGAATAAAGGTAGACCGAGAGCCAATTCGGCAATTGTACAAGCAAGAGACCAAATATCTGCTGCTGTTGTAATAGGATAACTTAAGACAATTTCAGGAGCTCTGTAATATCTCGTAATGAAATAACCAGACAAACATTCTTCCTCTTCAACGATACCACCAAGGTCAACGAGCTTGGAAATTATTGTATTCTTGATGTGCGAAATGTTTTCGGGCTTGCTATCTGCATGAATAAGCTTATTTTTGTGCAAAGCTTGGCAAGCTTTAGCAATATCCTTGAAAATAAGACGTATCATTTTAAGGTTCATCGGTCGGAAGTTGTTTTTCTGTAGGATACTGTACATATCTTGACCTAAAATTTCGTATATGATAACAGCATGACCCTCATACGTGAAACACCCTTCCATTTGTACGATGTTCATTTTCTCTTCGTCAGTTAGTAAGTTTTGAAGCTTCAAGTTGAGATTTACCTCTATTGCTCCGTAATCTGCGCTGCAATCCAATTTTACAATTTTGCAAGCGTAATATTGGTTGTACCTATCGTCCTTAGCCAAATATACATCAGCAAAGTTACCTGAACCAAGTTTTTCAAGAAGTGTGTAATTTAATCCTAAATCATCGGAAATAACATCACCCTTGTATACAATTAGTCTGCCATCTGCTGTGTGTCGCCCGTCCGGGGCCAAATCTATTGTCGTGTCGGTCAACATGGGAAATAAATCTTTTGAATGTAAAAATTTTTTCTGGAAAATATTCTGCCATAGACGATAAAAAAAGTAGTCGCGACATTAAATTTTGAATTCTTTTCAGGGATTTGTTTGTTTGGTCGCATAACACTTTTATAAATATAATCATTATAGGTGGTAAAATTAAACACACGAACTGAATAGATGTCTTACCCTGTCTTTACTCTTTATTTTGAGCAAACAATAGGTAAATGAGTGTGTTACACTGCATATTCTTTCATTTTGGATCTGCAAATGATAATTATTACAGTTAAGAAACTATATACTTTGTAGAACTTAAGTTATCATACTTTACTGTTTGAGATTGGTTTTGGAAATCAGATTTTCCTTAAAGCCATGAATGTGTATACAGTAAATTTCATTTTTATGTCATATACAATAACATTAACTGAGATATAAGTATTAAAAATGGCATTTTTATTTCACAATATATATCTTGAACTCATCTGTTAATAAAATCATGATGTTATTGATTGTTTTCTAGATGTTTACAATATTTTCTAAACATGTGAAGATAATCCTTAATATGAACCAGAAATAATTTTAAATTACTAGCAATGGATGGTTATCTATATAGAATAATATATTATCTTTGATAGTAAACTATGACTGCTTTATGATTTAGGAATATATACTTCTTTTCTATCTCTTTGAAAAATAGTTATATGATTTTGCTGTATAAGTGATATATTTTAGTAGAAATATTATAGAATAACAAAAATAAAAAGGTGATATCGATTTATAACATAATAAAATGGTTTATTTCTCTCTAAATTATAAATTTTCAAAAAAATTAACCTCATTTTTCCAAAAAAAATCGATAATTGAAAAAAACGTTATCATTTTCTAGAAAATTCCATAGGCTTTTTCTAAAATGGAAAAAATTTGGAGAAACTCACCAAGGAGAGCTTCATTCTAGGTGTCCAAAGCAATTGCTATCAGTCAAAAAAACCTCGAAAATTTTAAATATTGATATCCATTTTCATCAATCACTTAAAATCGATTGTTTGCAGTCGATGTTATCACATGTTATTAAATTCTAATATACTTGAACATACTACAAATTGTGTTTGAAACTTATCAACATTTCGCGCAATTTAACAATACTCCAATTCTCATACACAGTTCCCATTACCATAGTCTCATTTTAAGAAGAAATGATTAATAAAATCTAAGATCTAACATTATAAATAATATTTTTAATTATAAATACTTATTTGTGCATGTTTTATATACAGATGTAGAAAGAAAAACGATTAAAGTGTTACTTCAGAAAAATACCCGAAAGCACCCTAATCATTAAACAATTTAGTTTTTTAGCATCGAATTTTGCTCGTCTTGAGCCATATTTTTTCGTTTAATTTTCATAATACGATAATACATATGGGTTATCAAGTAAAGAATGGATATTTTAGAAGATGATAATATATCTCGAAATCAAACGAAAGTCATTCTATGAGTCCATACACACCATTACTATACTTCATATGTCAAGCATAATGGGAACAATTTTGGTCGATACCTTTGTTGTCGACGAAGTTTCCCCTTTTTTTAAGGGTGCACCCGTATGTACGTTTATTTGAGAGGAGGATTACCCTCTCAATTTTGAGGGATTCGTTAGTTTATTTTCTCGATGAATATGCAATAAAATTTGATTTTTACCTTATCAATATACTTCATATAATATACACATGTTCATGTAAAAACTTTTTTCCAAAATCCTCAGGAATTAAGGGATTTTTGAATTTTAAGAATTTTTTTCGAATTTTTTCGAAAAAAAAATATTTTCAGAACAGCCTTAACGGCTAAGATTTAGGAACAATGTTAAGTATCAAAAAGAAAGGAGGTCTGATATAGACAACATATATCGTTGAAGGTTGAAAAAATCTCTAATATTTGAGCCCAAAATTTCAAATTTTAATTTTTTGAAAAAAGAGGCCACCCGTATGTACGTTTATTTGAGAGGAGGAGGATTATATCTTTGAAAGGGTGAAACATTATGAATATGTTAATTATATAATAATATGTATTATTATAAAAAAGAAAAAATAAAGCACGTTAAAATTTTTCTTTCTTGATTTTTTACAAAATCTACTTAGAATTATGCAAAATATGACTAAATAATTATAAATTTCAAGTTAAATTTTAATTTTGATAAATAATTTAAATTTCAAAATATCAAGTTCAGTTCGACTATGTATGTAGTAATTCCTCAATAAAGTGCCAAAACCCTATTAAAATATATGAACATTTTCACATTTTAATGTTTTTATTTAAAAATTTGATGGAATATGAGCTTCAAACAATTATTATGTAAATAAAAATAATTAAATATATGTATTTATCGTATTACAACCGTAGTAAGTCGATTCTTCCTTTCTTCTACTGAGGTTTGAATTTGATTTCGAATTGTAAAGAGATTCAAAGGGAAAATACTAGCGGATAAAAACTACCTCCATGAAAGGGTCATAATGGAGTCAAGTTGTATTTTTTGATATTTTTTGCTTTTCGAGCCTAAATAGGTAGCCAAGATAATGCCTAAAAATAAGGTTCTAAATTCTGAAGTTTACATGATCCTCTCGTGTGCACCCTTAAAATCTTCTAATGGTTGAAACCATCTTTTTGAATGATTTTCTGAATTTTATTAAAACATTAGTAATTATTTTCCAATGTAATATCAAAAATGTTAATGGATATGTCTGTTAAAATAGCTGTGAATCAATTATGTTAAAAATTAGAAAAAAAAATACAAAATTATGGGTGAAACAAACAGATAGTTTAATTGAAAGAGTAATATCAGTTATATGAAGTCTTCCCATTCACTTAATGCGTCTTCGTCGTCTGTTTCGAACGTTCCGTATGGAAGGGTCAGAACATTCGGAATGGAACTGAAAGACCAACAAGAGTGTACTATTCACTCTTGTCGGTCGAAGTTCCGGAATCAGAATGTTATTGCGGAACAATGTGTCATTGTGGGAGACATGCATAGGCAATGTCTCCCTAAATGACACATAGACGCCAACAAGAGTGTACTATTCACTCTTGTCGGTCGAAGTTCCGGAATCAGAATGTGATTGCGGAGCAGTGTTCCATTCCGAGGTACTTGCATAGGCAATGTCCCCGGAATGGAACTGAAAGACCAACAAGAGTGTACTATTCACTCTTGTCGGTCGAAGTTCCGGAATCAGAATGTGATTGCGGAGCAGTGTTCCATTCCGAGGTACTTGCATAGGCAATGTCCCCGGAATGGAACTGAAAGACCAACAAGAGTGTACTATGCACATTTTTCAATAACATTCTCAAACATAATATTAATTTATTCTCTTAACTTTCATATTTTCTTATTATGATATTTTCTATTTTGATCTAGGCTCTTTTATTTCATCTAATAATTCTTTTTTTGCCGAATTTTCTCCTTTTTTTACAGTCTTTTTATTTTTCTTTTAAAGTAATTAGATTTGTATGTAAAATTCATATTCAAAGTCTTGTTGGTTTATTTGCTATTTTTTATTTTAGACAATTATTTTTCTTTCAGTTTTCTTAAAATTTTACATACTCAATCATCCTTACCAAATTTAGAATCTATTTCATTATTTTATTTTAAGATTTTTATTTGTTATTCTTTGTATTTTTAAAATTTATTCAAATTTTCTATTTTTTTCTTCTTATGTTCAGCCTCAATTTCTTAAAAACAAACGTCAGAAATCCTTAATCATATATCATTTCTTTTTGGTCACAATTAGCCCTACTATATATCTTAAATACATGAATTTTTAACAGAAATTCAATCTTTTCTGAGAGTTATCAAAAAATGGATAAAGATGATAGTTTACTAGTAAAGGAATGGCTTTCTGAAAGAGAATTCTTGAGACCACTCATAAGTGACAGTAATCTACCTCAATATGCATGGGCAACAGACTGTTCTTCACTTTTTAAAATTATTAGATCCAAACTGTCAATATTCAAACAAACTGAAAAAGACTATAATCAACAAATCGATGCAGAAATGCGAAAGCCAATACCAACTGCATATGATGCGCATATTAAATATAAATATCGCGTTTTAAAGTATTTAATGATTCTTACTTGCGAATACTTGAAAGAAGCCAACTCGATTGATGAAGAGTTGTTTTCAAAAATATACCAAGAAGTCAAAAGTTTTTCAAGATTTTGTATTGTTTTTCCTTTTATCCTTAAAAGACTTATTTCAGATGAACAAACAATCGAAAAGGCTTTGATAAATTACACTATGAATGTAAAATATTCAAGATCTCATAGTATCACAATGCAATCATCCAAGTTATCAAAATACGTTCGAACTCTCAACGAAGCAATATCTTTAGACCACATACCAGAAATTCCCAAGTTCAGCTTCTCTTATACTTATCAAAGCTGTGAATTAAGTTTTGAAATTTTTATTTCGACTTTACCATCGAAGTTCAAAGAGAATATTAAGAGCCTTGAGGACATCATTATAAGTGATATCAACCAAATCAACAACTCAGAATTACCTTTTATTTTCGATCCAAACGTTGATACAAAAGAAAACGTCGACTTTTCGGAACTGATAGTTACTGTTGTAGATGTGTTAAGAACAGTAATGGGTATAACAAACACAACAAAATCAAGTCAAAAAATTTACTCATTATTAATAAGATACATCTTTAATGATCTTATTGTAAACGACAATGACCCATATAAGACAAGAATTATGGTTGGATTACCAAATACAAAGCTAAAAATTAAAGATCTTCCAATCCAAGAGTTTTTCAAGGGCTACAATCCAGAGATGTTGATAACTGAATTTGTCCAATGCCAACCAACCCTTGTTAATGCCATCGAAGAGATCGAATTAACTATGTTTGAAATTTCTCCAATTGATATCCTAATTAGAATTGACAAAGCTGTTAAATATGTTCAGAAGTTCATTTCTGATGATTTAAAGCGTAGAACTGGCACTGTTGATTCATTTATTCCTTTTGATAACGTTATTCAGATCTTTAATGCGGTTTTTGATTGTGCAGAAATGCATGGAGTAGCATCTATTACTTATTGTATTGAAAGATTTACTGTTTGTTCATTTTTAACAAATGATCTTTCATTTGCTTATGATTCTCTAATCGGTGTCTATTCATTAAGATACCTATAAGCCTATATGTTGTTATTATTCATATTTCATTTATTGTTTATCGAATTATTCATGAAAAATGTTATAAAGTGTTTGAATTTTATGATTTTAAAATGTTTTTCTTTCAAACCAATCACCTAAAAGTGCAACTCCGATAAGGAGGAGATTTCAAGATAACTTTTGACGTTTTGAATAGGTGTAAAGTCGTTTGATGTTTCTAAAACAATTTATTTTTCAAACAAAAAAATGCTGATTAATGAATTATCCCCATTATGTGAATTACAATCATTACTGTGCGATCTAACCACTGAGACTGTACCAAAGGTTGCAGATGCCATTAAAGGAATGACTTATTTCTACTCAAAAAAAAATCTTATTTTATTGCAAACGAAATTAAGATGGCAGCAGCTTCCAGAACACTCAGAATGCGTCCATATGCCCAACTTATCAAAGTACTCATAGCAGAATTCCCTGAATTCAAGGAAGTCATGTTCCAAAATTTAATTTTCCTCTTTCCACCTGATCATGTCTCTAATCATCACATGGTCAATGCATTTATTAGATGTTGCATAAGAGAAAAGATTTTCGATATTAAGCAAATTTTGTCTTTCATTGATCTCTTATTCGAAAAGAATTGTCGTATGCATCTTAGCGAATTTCTTGTTAGTTTCATTACTGAAGTCAATCAATACAATCCAAAGTTAATACCAAAGTTTTTAGAATATAGAGATCCCTGGGCAATGACGTTTTCTGCCATTTCTTCGGCCTTCAAAGTCAAATCAAAGGAAGAATTACAGAGTTACGTAGATAAAGGCTACTATCCAGGTACAGCAGAAGCTGCAATTATTGAAGATAATATTGAAGCTTTGATAATGTTAGCGAAAGATAAAAATTTCAACCTTTTCGATGGTGGCTACAAATCGCAAATGTCAGTTTATAATAACGACGTTCCAAATTTCTCTCTTTTGAACATGGCGGCTTACTTAGGTTCTATTAAATGTTTTAAGTTTATATACCAATTTGTTGTTAAACAGAAACCAGATGGTCTCTTGGCGTCGGCTTGTGCTGGTGGAAATTTTGAGATCATTCATTTGGCCGAGGAAAGAGACAAAGATTATATTCAATCCCTTTACTATGCTGCCAAATTTAAGCATGTAAATGTTTTTATGTGGCTTCTAGAAAGATCTGGCAAACTTGATTTGAAGATTATCTGGAATCTCCTTGCTTTAGGCGGTACATACAATATTTATTTCATCGCAACTTCATTTTCCAAGTATTGCACAGCTGCTGACTTTTCAGAATTTTCCAATATGCCAACATGGAGAAGCGCCATCCTTCATGGCAATGAAGCTTTTGCACTTCTTATAATATCTGAGAAGCCGGGGCTTTTGAAGTATATGTACCACTCTTTGACCCCATTTGCGAAAAGCCTTGTTAGAAAGTACTTTAAGCAACTTAAGAATAAATAAAGTAGGGCTGTACAAGATTTAAAAAAACATTACCGGGTTACCGTAGAGGCCTAAAAAAATCGCGCCTCGGCGGCAAGCCGCCTCGGCATTAAGAATGCGCATCTAAATTTTTATATGTCCTTCTTTCTTTTATTTTTCCCTTCCCTTTCTTTTCTTTTTCTTTTTTTCCCTCCTCTTGCTCTCATTTACCTTTTTTTTCCTTTTCTCATCATTTTTCAAAATTTAAAATTTTTATCAAAAATCTTGCCTATAAAAGCAGACTATGGAACCTTTTAATGCCTCTTAATCAATATTATACAGCATAAAGCATATTAAATGAAAGTAATTACGTATAAATTTATTTTATTATCTTATTTATTAATTCTTTAGCATGTATTGTTTAATATTAACTTTTCTGTACATTAAATATGATATCTCCAAAGTATGAATGCCTTGTAACGAAACGAAAACTTAATTTTATGTTGAATATTTGTCACAAACATTAGATTATTAAAATATATGTTGGATATCCCTTAGTATGAGACTTCATGACTCTTGTTGTCTAACGTGAGCTTTGGATTGCAAGCTCTGTGGTTAACGAACATAAATTAATTGTAAAGTTTTCAAAAATTTTCATCGTTTCTATCAGCATCTATTTTTCCTTTAAAATAATATATTTGTATGAATACAATATTTAGTAATTTTTTTATTTCCCATAATTTCATTCAAAATTTCAGAAAAAATTAATTTCTATTCAATATTATTTCAGCTTCAAAACACTTCATTCTTATAGATGTTGATTCTGTAATGCATGAAAAATAGCGTGACTTCATTTTTGACAGTTTACAAATGTAAAGTGTTGCATCCTTAAAAACTTGGAAATATATACATTCATGAATTATCTTGTATATTAATTGAAAATCCATAAAACCCTAACAATATTTTTTCTTAAGGGTATAGTAAACTCAAAATTCTAGAGTTTTGAGAGTGCCAATAAACTCTATAGGCCTATATATATCTATATTTTAAAGGAGAGGTTACGCCATAATATTTGATATTATAAATTATTAATTCAAAATAAAAGTAGAAAATGAAACTAATTTTATTCTAACCTATATAAATATATCAATAATCTAAAATGATTATAGTCTGAACTATATTTTACCAGATTATCAAATATAAGAGAAATGAAATAAGGCATAAAAATATCATAGCATAATTATTGGATAAATGCATTAATAAATTATTTATATCATAATGAGAAAAAATCAAAATAAGAAAATGAGCATAATAATAATTTAATTAAAAACAAAAACAATAAATAAAATGTAATTTTCGTTAATCAAAGTCATCAATGTCTTCGTCTTCTGATTCCCATTCGGACTTGAAAACTTGATAATCTCCTCCTGGTACACTCTGAATGAATTTTTTGTATTTGTTCTGTTTTTTAGAACCTTTTGTAACAGTTTTTTGTTTCAATATCATTTTGGAGTAACAATTCTCTTCAAATGATTTGACACAATCTTCTGGAAGTGGGGGAAGATGAGTTAGTATCCCAAACTTGGGTACGGCGGCACTGCGTTCCACCTTACCCAAGTTAACGGTTTGACACTTTACAAAACCGGTAACGTATATTTTACAATACAACCATAACACCAACTTAACCTTAAATATTTACAAAACCATCTGACACATAAACGACTTCACTAACGACTTCACTAACGAATTCACTACCATCCTCACTAAATAAAAAAGAGAAAGGGACAGACTAGCCCATTGTCACTTTTTAATTTAGCAAATGAACGCTTATGGAGTGGAGTTTTTGGGTAAATCTGATTTGCTTATAAATGAAGTAAAATCAAAAGAAACCATATTGGCATTATATTATGCAAAAATAAATGATCTTACTTAGTACTTTTAAAGTTAATTTCAGAAAAAATTTGACACAATGGTATCCGGCACATACAAGTGGTGTACAACCAAAATATAAGTTGGTTTAAACATATATTGCTATATCTCATGATCTTACTTAGTACTTTTAAAGTTAATTTCAGAAAAAATTTGACACAATGGTATCCGGCACATACAAGTGGTGTACAACCAAAATATAAGTTGGTTTAAACATATATTGCTATATCTCATGATCTTACTTAGTACTTTTAAAGTTAATTTCAGAAAAAATTTGACACAATGGTATCCGGCACATACAAGTGGTGTACAACCAAAATATAAGTTGGTTTAAACATATATTGCTATATCTCATGATCTTACTTAGTACTTTTAAAGTTAATTTCAGAAAAAATTTGACACAATGGTATCCGGCACATACAAGTGGTGTACAACCAAATCTTCGACTCGATGAACTTGTCATCGAGTTATATTCCAGTGTTGTTCCTTCATTCCTGATTAAGTTGCAAATTAAAGGTCTGGATTCAGAGAGAAGTGTTAAAGTTATCAAAAAAGTCACAAGAGATTTCGAAGAAATGACACAATTTAAAAAAGTCGAATGCATCAGTATGCTTGAAGCTGTTCAGAAAGGTCTGAAAAATGATACACTTGATCCCAACATTGTTTACTCAACATTAAAAATATTATTGCAAAGAAAACATTTGATTTAATAAACATTTAATTTATTATAATTAATTTTTTATTACAGTATAGTAAAAAATGCTATAAATAAATTATTATATTTTATTAAAATGTGACTTTTAATAGTAAGTGAATAAAATAAATCAGGAATTGGGAAAGAAATAAGGTTAATTAAAAATAATGAAAATTACAAGTTTAAGGTTAATGAAAAAGTGACAATGGGCGAGTTTGTCCCCCACTCAAATAAAAAATAACCTTATTTTTTATTTTTTTAAATTTTTTATTTCATTACAAAGACATGTCCGACTACATTTACTATGACTCTTTCCCAGAACGTTTCCGTGAACTATTCAAAACTCAAGTAAAACTGAGAAACATGCATTTTAACAAAGACAGACCCATTGACGATGAAAGAAACCCTAAATATATTATAATACCTTATGATGCTAAATTTATTGCATACATTCCTTATGGTCGCAGAGGAACGAAAACTATTTCAACAATGACGAAAAATTATTTCTGGAGCGATGAAGAAAATTGCCTTATCTACATAAATACATACTTAAATAAAGCTACATATTGTACAAAAGAAGGTTGGACTGGATTTGAGCTCTACATATACGACGACGATGGAAACAGACGTTGTGTATACCCATACGATAATATGTACCATTGTTTTCATCAAGCATTAAACGAATACATAGTCAGTAAGGGTCTCATTCCTGTTGAGTAGATATGTTTTATTTTTGTTCTGTCATTTATATAAAAATAAACTTAAAAATAAATGATATCACCACCCTCACACGTATGAAAACATAGCACAAAAATAAATTTAGGTGAAGTGGTGAAATCTCACCTCTTTTTCACCCGGTTTTTCACCTGTTGAATTCATGCTTTATAACTCTCTTCCTTTCTCCAACTCTTCTAACTTCTTCTTAAGTTCAGCAATGTTGTCCTCATGAAGTTTAATCTTTCTCAAAATTCCTTCTTTATCTAATGGTTGCTTTATCTTTCTAAACTGAACTCTACCATCCTTCATAGTATGAACGTAAAAACCTTCTGGAATAGTTCCTGATTTAATGTATTCTACCAAAAACTTTTGTTTCATTGCTTCAGTGACTTTAGTCGTCATTTCAATCAAATAAAAATTTTAATATTAAATAAAAATAACGTTATTTTTTTTTCAGTAAGGAAACGCAGGAGTTTTACGATTTATTTGAGGAGTAGGTTCTGGTTTAAATGTTGGAGTCGGTTTAGGAGTTGACTTTTGAATAGGAGTTTGTACTTCCATAGGTTCAGGAGTCATTGAAGGTTTTGCTTGTGAAGGCGTTGGTTTGACATTGGTTTTTGGCGAAGGTGTTGGAGTTTGTTTAACTTCAGCTACTTCAGTATTATTTACAAATTTGCTTTATTTCTTTTCACATCATAACTGCTCCTGCTGTAAGCTAGCAAACCTAGTGGGAGACCATATCTTATATAAGGACTTGACCAAATGCTATTTTTGACAGGAGCTGGTGGAACACCTAACCTTGGTGAGACTGCTCTTTGCCATTGTGCAGCTCGTAAAGAAATTCAATAGGTGCTCCCATAATCGTTTGGTAAAGTTTGTTTCATAGATGGTGAAGGTTCACGAGAGCTGATGAAGAACTCATTTATAAGCTTTAAAATAAACGTTCATCCTTTATTCCTCACTGTCGTCCGCAGCTAAGTTATAGTCATCTAATCTTATTATTGGGATTCCATTAGCACGCACCTGAATGGCAAAGCAACAATCCCTCATAAATCCAATAAGTGGCTTTGGTACATTTTCAGTTGCTAGTTCAATAGGTCCTTTAACAGACAATTTGTATGTTATTGGAGCAGTAGATGTTTGACCTTGCTGGAAGCAAAAGTCCACTTCTGTTGGAAAACCACATAAGAAATGTGTGTTGTCATAGCTATCCCATTTATGTTCCACACTACCATCATCCACCAATGACCTCATAACATCTTCATTAAATCCAATCATATCATTGTTTGTATTGCAAGCGTTCGCAACCATTTCATAAAATACAGGTCCATATGATTTTTCAGGTTCTGCAGGCATATTTCCATAAGCTCCCATGGAAAGCTGAAGATATTTAAACTTAGGGTTCTCAAAATTAACATAATAGTTGTCTTTCTTTCTAAATAGTGCCTAAATACTTTTAACATTAATAGGCGTATAAGCTGCTGTAAATGTTGCACTTGAACTATCTGTATTCTTTGAGAATGAACCGTCCATAGGAATCCAATCCATAACTTTAACAGGAAAACATAAAGCCTCGTTTGTATAATTTCTACAAGTTCTGTATAAATGTTAGGGTCTAAAGAGAATGATTTTGGATGAATGAAACATTCATTAAAATCCATCTTTGTTCGAAATAGTTGCTGGGTTACAGTTGTAATAGTAACTGTTCCACTAGCTTCTATTGCCTTCGTTATCATAGTGAATGGTTCATTCCATGGAACAAATTTATTTGTCGGTGGATTTGAATCTGAAGCAAATGCAACTTTAAGAGTTGGATTGAAAGCAACGATATCATTTACAGATATAGATGTGCATTGTAAGGCGTCGCTACTGAACTTTACTTTAAGCTGAATGTTTCCTGCAAAAGCAGGAATAAATCGAATAGCTTCTAATGGAAGGAATCTTCTAACAGGAATTCTTAAACGAAGCTTAAAATCAAATGATTTTCCTGCTGTAATTGGACCACTAACAATTTGTCCTGTTCTGCATGTTCCCGAATGACTCCATACATCTTCATGTCGAGTCTTTGAGAAACATCTACTATCTTTATTTGTTCGGTAGTTTGTGAGTTTGAAGTTATATATGCTTCTTCTCTTGCGTTGTCTTGAGAATATACGATACGACCATTTGCAAGGATTTGATATCCAGCAACTGCATAGAAAGCGTCATCGAAACCAATCCAAAATCCTGGTGGGTTTGTTTTATTGGAACCTGAACCAATTTCTTTATCTACAATAAATTGACCTTCCATTTTATACGTAATGAATGTATTGTAAAGGTCCAACATATTTTCACCAGGAGGTGAGAGATTGAATGTTACCCATGTGTTATCTTTAGCAGTTCCAGGTTGTGATGGAATCTTTGCGTCAGAATATTTTCTATTAGTGTCACCAATTTGAACTGCATTGTCTATGATATCGAAATATGAGCGAATCTGATGAATATGCTCTGCTGGAGTAAATTCGTTTAGCTGTTCGTTCTGCATGTATTTACTTCGGATAAAAATATCTATTTACTTCATTATTCTCACTCTTCTTCTTGGCATTCGTGGTGGAAGTTGTTTCTTGACATTTTCAATGAACTGTACATTCTCTTTTGTCTCAACTTCTTTCACTGGTGGGTCAGGGTTCTTTGACTCGGTTTGCTTTTCAATGAAATTCACGAACTTTGCAATAAGCTCTTGGTTCGTTATTGAAAGAACATCTGGCTTCTTTTCTTCTGGTTCTATTGACTTTTCAGTTTGAATAGAAGGTTTTATATGGGCTTCGCCCTCGGTGCCATGCACCTTAATGTTGTCGCTCTCTGTATTCGCTAATGGAACCTTTCTTTTTCTTACATATATTTTACCATCTTTACTCTGACTTACGTAATAGAAAGGATGTTGTATTCCTCTGGCGTCATTTAATATAATAGACTCTCGTTCTGATTTTGACAAGCTCATTTTACATCGGTTAAAGTTTTAATTTTGTTTTTTATCTGCAGTCAAATGACTCAGACAAGCCCTACGGACAAGACCCAAGGGGTCATAGATGTTGAAGCATTGAAGAAAGAAATTCGTGAGCAAATTTTATCCGAACTGAAGGAACAAAAACAAGAACAAAAGCCAGAGAGACCAAAGAGAAAACTTAGTGAAAAACAACTTGCTGTATTAGCTGCTGGAAGACAAAAGAACCCACGTTTGCTGGCGAAGAAAGCTAGAGAAGAAGCTGAAGCAAAAGCTAAAGAAGCTGAAGCAAAGAAAGAGTAAATGGTTTATTTTTATCCGAATTAAATGTATAGACAAATACCTTTATCTGTTGCGTTCAGTAGTGAAAACCCTGACGTCAAAATAAAGGGGAACAGAGTAACGTTTAAGTTTCCAACAGACTGGATTGTGAACATAAATGAAGAGAAGTACATTGGCATAACATCTATGTATATAACACGTGCTTTCAGAAAGGTTGACTTTATACTTCAAGTCGAGATAGAAAATGACGAACAGTCTTTAAGCGCCCAAAACATTCACATATACAAATACTTTAAAGACGATACAACATTGCAACAATGTATGATTTCATTTAATGAGATGTTCGAGAAAAAGTTCAACATTGAAGTACAAACTTTACAGCCTTTACGTGAGTTTCTTGCACAACTGAAAGAAGAAGGTAGTCAGCCACAACTTATAGACTTTCATTATGAATTTAATGAAAATGAAGATGGAACACATGACTGTCAGTTTGTTGTATTCTCACCATTCAATGAAGTCGCTAAAGAGAAAGAAAATCCATTACGTATAAGATTTCAAATCTCTGAACCAAGTGATGATTTCAAGAATGTTTTCAATTATGATGCAATGCTTCCGAGGAAAAATGAATTTTCAAAGATTGTAACACCTGGCATTTGGGATAGAAAGCAAGCTATATTATATTCAAACTTAAGTAAGGGAGTTGAAAATGAGTTCATTGGTCATACAAGAACTTCACCACTTCCTAACCCTAAATACTATAAATTAACTGGCTTCAATCGTGAGTTTTGGATAGACATGTTCTCCACTCATGACCATAACTGCCCAGTGTTCTTACCTCCAGACCATAAGGACTGTCTCTACATTGAAGCACAACTCTTAAACTCTACCATCGCAGTATTGTAAATGACCACATGGGCTTCGCCCTTGCCGCTAGCGGCTTATTTTTATCATGAATGGTCTCACTGCTGACAAAAATAAATGACCTTATTATTTTTCTCATTCATGACCTCAGAACTTAAGCTTTCTTATGAATGAAGTCTTAGTCTGAATAGAAAAGTTAAACTTTTCAGCAAAGCAAGGACTAGAAGACTTACATAAGTCAAATCCAATCTCTTGACCATCATGAAGTGCTTTGTAAAGTTTCATTAAACTGAACTCAGAGTCTTTTGTCATATGTTCCAACAGGTATGTGAATGTTCTTATCTTCATTGTAATAGCATTGTATAGCTTCAGGAAACATTTCATTAGCTGTTAAAGCAAGGACGTCTTGTTTGACACCTTTGCAACGTGCATGGAATGCAACTTCATTTAAATCGTTAGTGAGTAAGTCTATGTAAGTCTTCTTTCCAAAAAATATTGACTTGTATGCTAAACTTTGTTTTCCAGGTGTTATTTCTGCAAAGTCGCTATGAAATTGACCTAATGTTTTACCAATAAGTTCTCTACCGTATCTCTTCTTAAATTCTTGAGCTAAACGTGGTATGTCTTCATTGAAAATATGCATGCTATCACAGTCCTGGTAAAATATTTGAAGACCCATGTCCTCAGCAGTACAGAATACTTCATTCATTATTCTCTTCGACATTGATAGAATATTTACACCAACTGGACAGAAGTTAAAGTGTCTGCAAATGCTTTTCGTTAGCTTGAAAATAGTTTTATCTGAACCATCCAAACCTTCGAACTTCACTATATGGTTGTAGTTTCTGATGGCATATCTTATAGCATCTTTGTCATCTACTATGGTTATTTTTGACTCAATAGGAGATAGAATAGTTTGCCATAAATACTGTTCAGAAATGAGCTTTATATTTTCTTGCAAAGGGATTTTCCTTCTTCTTATATTTAACTTAAGTAACTCTTAACTCAACCAACTTCTTTACTTCATCTCTTATTCTAATATCTCTGTTTCCATTGTAATAGTATCCTTGCAACATCACATTTGACACCTTGATATTTTATGAGGTCTTGTAATGTTATATGGTCAACATACATTAAACAGCAAGTGTTTGAACTTCTGGGAACGTTAAGTTCTGGATTTAGTTCAGGGTCACAAACTATTAAAGGAAAGTGTCTATGTATTCCAATCTCTGTTATCTTAATGAGAACAAAGAAGCCAGACATAAACTTTTCACCAATGGGTTCCTTTTGGTCGTCATCGAATAAATGCTTTAACAAATATTCAGAACTTAACATCTCATCCTTCAATACTTTTGGAATTCCTTCTAAAGTATAAAGTCTTGCTATAGCGGATGGATATAATGAAACAGCGTCGAAGTCAGCAATGAGTTTCTTTTCGCTCTTTTGTTTCATGTTATCTGACAACATACATCTTCCACCTTGAATGCATCTCGAAATAAATTCTCTTGGTTTATTTGAGAGGTCATAAAGATTTCTATCATAAGACGAAATGGTGGAAGTGAACTCAAAATAAGAGTAATTAGGTTATTTTGCCGACCAAATATATTTACAAGGCAAAATATCATATTACATATCAACCTATTATCAGTATGTTTTGATAAAAAAATTTTATCAAATATCATATTAAAATTAACATCTATATCTATATCAATATCTACACTATAAATTTTTTTATTCAATATCATAGATTTCAAAAATTTATTTCAATTTTAAATTAATTTATGGTTTTCATCAAAATTGTTTTTTATTAAAAAGCATGTTTCACAATTTTTACGGTTTCTTTCAAAAATTATAAAAAGAGAGTCAATAAGAAATTTCAACGCTTCAAGAAGGAATCAAAGAAATTGACGAAGTTCCAGAATTTTATTCAACAATTCTTAATCAATTAACAAAAACTATACCGAAACTTATCTTACCATCCAAATCAAATCACATTACATACGGAATAAACATTTAATCTTTTACCATTAAAATTATATTTATACGTTATTTAATTTTTTTACGTCTAGGTTGAATAGGATAATAGCCGAAGATATAAAGTAACTATAGTTTACAAGCTAAGGAACAAATCAGCATTGAAACTAAAAAATGCTGAAATATTATAATAAATTGAAGAAATACTGTGATAGAATACCTAGTTATACTAGATACTATTATAATATGAATTCATTTGTATTGAATATCGATTAAAATAAGATGGAACGTCAATTTGACAGACTCAAGTTTCGAATTAGAGACCAACTTTCATCAGCATAGTATATGTGCGCAAACTACTGCATAATGGTATGCTTATCTTTTCATTTTAAAAAATAACGTATTTGAATAATTTCGTAAAAAATTAGAATTACTCGATATTAAGCATATTGCTTTTCTATCATATATGCTTATATTCTACAATAGTGTTACCAAACATCGGGCAACATCATACGTATAATACCAGTTATTTGCATTGTTCGTGAACCTTTAATGATGGGAGTTCCTTTCACTTCTGTCATGTGTCTTAAGATGAAGTTTATATCATAGCTGAGGTTATGGAAATATATTAAACTCTTGTCAGGAAGTCGTTCCAAAAATTCTGTTGCACAGTTTTGACCCCATATGCTTTCACTCACTGAACCATCTTCACTGTCGTAACAGATGTTAAAAGCTTTATGAAAGCCGTCTGTGCTACACTCAAAGTCAGCAAAGAAAACATGCTCAGGAATGAACTTACATTTAGCTTTATTTACTTCTTTTGACTCTGCTTTCTTCTTCAGTTGTACACAATACTTTGGAGCATATGTCAAATCTTTAAATGGTGCAAGGTTCTGTTTATATAAGTCAGTCGTATATGTGAAAAGTTCTCCATAAGAAATAGGTTCGAAATATTTGCACTCCCACAATGTTTTCATAACATCCCATAACGGTGTAGTTCTATCCATGCGAACTACATATTTATCTTCTCTCTTTGTATAAATCTTCATCTGTTTCTCAATGTTCATTCCACCACACTCCTTCAAGATTTCTATATAGTTGCGAATGAAATATGTTGTCATTGGAAGTCTTTCATTTAGCATGTAGTGGTCGTCAACAAGAAGTAAGTCAATAGTTCGAACAGTTTCACATTCTTTTGGTATATATCTCTTTATTTCATTATGTCTTGAGTCATTGAAATAACCAATGGTAACATTAAATGCTATACCAGTTGCGTCAGAAATTTCTTGTACTTTACTTTGAGGAAAGTCTCTAACACGAATGACTTCTCTCATGTGGTCAATAGTTTCTCCATTTACTCCAGCCTGAATGCAAGCATAAACGAAGCAGTTTATCTTCTGTCATAAGTGTTGCAGTTCTTTTGTTCAGTTCATTGAAGATTTGGTAGCGTTCAAGATTTATAGGTAATGTGCAAAGATACTTCCAGAACTGACCGCTTCTCTTCTTATAAAACTTTCTTTTCACCATTATCTTTCCAAAAGCTTTCTATAAGTGCTGGGTTTCCTGTTTGCTTAAGAGCTTCCAAAATGGCTTTCTGGTCATTTGTCAGTGTGCTTTCATCTCTATATGGTCTCTTTTTTGGTTTGCCTTTCTTTACATCTGACATCGTTAAGCCTTCATATTCTGTTAAATCATACATCTTTATTTCAGTAAGATTCTTTATGTTTGTCAAGAAGAAGTCATAGTGCATTTCAACAATACCTGCAGCATTTGCTTCTATCTCTGATATAAAGTTCTCCTTCAAGAGTTGATGTAGTAATGTTCCAATATTATTGAGGTTTAACGTAGAACATTCATACTTTCCACCAAGTTTATAACATACCATCCATCTTTGTTGGGAGTTTATTTTAATCTTCTCTAAGAGTCTCATGAAAACCTTACCGAAATGTTTGTGTAAGTAGTCTCTGTTTGGTTCATCTAAAAGCTTCGATGTTAAAGTCAATGAGTCTATTGCCTGTCTTATTCTTTCCTATTCTCTTCATCTTTCTTTAACCATCTCTCACCTTCTTTTGGTTTGTCGTCATGGAACGAATGACATCGTTAGCTTTGCGAACTGTTCTATAGCGCTCTTAAACGTCTCTCTTCTCTGTTGTTTTCAGTGTGTCGTCTCTTCTTCTTGTTTCACCAACGTTTGCATTTGTTTGTCAAACATTTCTTTCTTACTTCATGAGGTGAACGTCTATGATATAAGTCAATAGCAACGTCATTTAAAGGTGCTTTGCATGGACTTCGTCCTCGCCGCGTTTGCGGCTTTATGAACTCATGAATTCTATCATAACTTATTGCACACCATTATAGTCATTGAGGATGTCAGCGAGTGCTTTTTTGTTTGTTGCGTAATGCTTTGCAACATCTATATTAGCTTCTGTAAGAAGTTGTTTTATTTCCGAGTGTTCTAACTTAGACAACTTCCGATACATCTTTAGTAGGAAATAAAAAAATATTTTTTTGAAATTAGATTTTTTTAAGTTATTTTTCAAAATAATTTAATATTTTTATTTTAATGAAACACATGCAAGATTGCAAGTTCTTTTCATACAATGCTCTCGCTACTGCCATCAAGAATGAGTTCAATAATGCTTCAAATGTTAATGTTATCTTTAACAAGAAGTTTGTGAAAGAATCTAAGTTTGGTCAGTATGTCAGACCATTAGCTATCGTCATTGACCGCAAACGTTATACTTCACAAGAGTTAGCAGTAGTTTTGAAACAAAAGAGTTTCTTCGTGAATGTCAAAGATACTCATTATACTGTCATAAAGAACTCTAACATTGACTTCTTCAGTATTGCTTTAAATCTTTCCGAACAGAAAGAATATAAGAAGGGTGAAACAAATGTGAAATATTATCCTTCATCTCTGAAGACAATAACGAACAAAGATGTTATACAGAAATTCTTACCAAAGGTTGAAGTGTTGTAAACAGAAATTCATCAAAAGTGACACCTCAGAAAAGCTAAAATATTGAATTTTTGGAACTTTTGATAGAGCACGTTTTTAAATATTAATTAAAGTAAATGTATATTTTGTAAAGATTCTTTTTAATAAAAAAATAAAATTTTGAAGAAGAACACAAAATCTTCTGAAAAATAATATCACATAAACTCATATTATTTTCTAATATATAACTATTTTATATAAAAATCAAATTCAATGATCTTAAAAGCGAAGGATAAACCTCAAAATTTACGAATATAATGAGTGGGAATATAATGCTTATCTATCATAAAACCATATGAAATATCAATTTTTGCTTTACGCCTATTCCCACTCAGTCCATTTGAATATGAAAAATAAAATTGACTTTGATTAAATGTGTTTATTTAATCAAAAATTAATATTTCATATGGTTTTATGATAGATAAGCATTATATTCCCACTCATTATATTCGTAAATTTTGAGGTTTATCCTTCGCTTTTAAGATCATTGAATTTGATTTTTATATAAAATAGTTATATATTAGAAAATAATATGAGTTTATGTGATATTATTTTTCAGAAGATTTCATTCTATATGCCTATGAAAAGTACTCTCAAAACTAACTTTTTCCTAATTATAATTAAATCTAGAATATTGTATTATGCTTAGTATTATTTCATTTTTCTCATTCAATTTAGAATTTACAAATGTCAAAAAATTGAGAGCTGTCACTTTTGATGAATTTCTGTTTATTACAGAAGAAGCTTCTATTGACATTGACGAAGAAAGTGAAATGGTTGAAGAAATTGACCCTGACGTCATTTAAGCAAAAATATATTTTTGGTTAGTCTTCATATGGATATTTTACAACAATTCCCCAATGTATAAACTTTTCATACGCTTTTTCATAAGCTTTATATGTCTTCAGAAATTTTGCATAATCTTTTACATGTTGTTCGTTCTCTTCTTCTGTCATGAGTTCCGAATATTCTAAATTCATGTTCTTTCATATGAGATAAAATTTTATAAAAAAATAAAATTAGCTTAGATTTTTTTATTCTTCCTCTTTGAAGTTATCGAAATATTCTGTTATTTTTTCCTTCAGTAATGTTAAGTCTTCTTTGAATGTAAGTATTGTGCAACCTTTGATGTCATAGTGTGTTTGAGGAAGAGTATTTTTGACAATTTCCTTTATTTGCTCATTCGGTGTCATTGAAATCGTTAAGTTTTCACGATAGAACCAGTTTCTATCAGATTTATATATCTTAGCTAAGTCATAAAAGCTCTTGTTGTTTCTTCTCACTAAATGCAACATAACCATATCTTTATCTTCTTCATTTTCCATCTCTTCAGTATATATCATATACTTATAACTCTTTTCCTTTCCTTTTGGTACCGAACGCGGTATTCTTTTCTGTATGCTTTTGTCTTTGGATTCAATGACTTCATCTTTTGCTTGAAGTTTCATTTCCATATCTTCACGTTCTGCTTTATATAGTTCATCTAACATCATGAAAATATAACAAGAGTTAGTATCCCTATCTTGGGTACGGCGGCACTGCGTTCCACCTTACCCAAGATAACGGTTTGACACTTTACAAAACCACTGACGTATATTTTACAACACAAACGACAACACTAACTTAACCTTAAATATTTACAAAGCCGCCAACCACTTCACCTCACTAACATTTTCGCTAACGACTTCACTAATGAAAAAATAAAAGTTCTCACTAACGTTCCCACTAATGTTCTCATTTACAAAAGTATTGCAGCGCTTCCCATTGCTGTGCTTCACACAATAGTTCATATTCTTCAGTATCGCTGCTGTCACTCCAATCGTCAGAGTCAAAATCACTGTCAAAATAAATGTATGTAAGTTTTGACAAAGCTAATGAAACACGCTTACCGTTTGTATCTATTGCTTTTATATCTCTCCCATTATGTTTGTTGTCGTAAACGCTCAAACTAACTTTACCCTTTCTCCCTCGTATCTGATAGAATGTATTTTCACGAGGAACGAAGAACAAATTCTTGAACTCATGACCGTTGTAGTTTGTTATCTCAATAGTTTTCGTCATTTATATAAAAATAAACTTAAAAATAAACTTAAAAATAAATGATATCACCACCCTCACGCGTATGAAAACATAGCACAAAAATAAATTTAGGTGAAGTGGTGAAATCTCACCTCTTTTTTCACATGTTTTTTCACCCTAGCCGCAAAGCGGCTCTGACCCTTTGGGTCTGTTGAATTCATTGCTTTATAACTCTCTTCCTTGGTTTCTTTTTAGTTGCTTTCTTCACGTCTGTCTCCAACTTGACTGTCTTTCTTCTTCGGCCGTAATGATACCAGTTACTTCCACCAGTCAATGGGTCAAATGGTCTTTCGTAAGGGTTTCCATACATTCCATAGGGACCATACGGAAGAACTACTGGTGGAGAAGAAACATTTTCTTTAGTTCCATCGAATCTATTTAAATGCATTGTTTCACCTTTCATCTGGTCATTAAAGTCTTTTGCGTGTTTTGCAAACTCATCGTCCTTTCCTAAAGCATTTTCTGACTCAGTCGCAACCAAATTGGATGCTTTATTTATGAGCCCCATTTTATGTAATCTTAACTTCTTTGCAACCCAGCCTCCAATCTTTCCTTTATTTGCATCTAATGTCTTTGAAACCCTTCCTCCACTCATTTTATTTACTGCGTCATAAGCTCCAAGTGCTTTTGCTCCAAATGCTAATGCTTTTGTTCCCATTGCGCCTAAAGCTGCCCAAGCTACCATTTACCCCATATTAAAATCATCTCTCTTCAATATTATCTCATAAAAGTTCTCGTTACTGGAGAAAGTCAATGAAACATAAGCGTTCTCACGGGCTTCGCCCTCACCGCTTTGCGGTCTATCTAACTTATTTCTTATATCATCTATACGCTTCAAAATGTCTGAACAATTGCTAACATCTTCTACAACAGTTATTTCATCATGAATGACCTTCAAGAACAAGCTCATTTAATATGCTATTAAAATCATCTCAATAATGAGTCCATCCTTTCCGTCTTTGGTAGCACAACATCTTTCATTGAAGAAGGTTCGACAAGTCTTATGTTAAACTTACTGACAAAGTTTGTTATACTATAATGCTTCGGCGGCGAATACATGTAGTTTGAAAGACATAATATAGATTCTTCAGCAAATTCACTTATACTGGATTTTATAACAATGTTCTCACGAGACCAAATACCACCAATTGACAATCTTGTAAGCAATCCTGCTGAACCTTCTACTGTAAACGTCGATGGTAACATTCCACGAAGGTCATCTATTGACATCGTTGAGTCACTGTATTTAAATATTTTCTTAAAGCAATCGTCATTATCTAACCATGCAATAGCTTTGAAGTTTTCATTCGAATATACATCTGCTTCATTAAATGTAAAACCTGACTTCTTTGCAGAGACGACTTTAAAATCTATTGAGTTTGTTTCAAAATTATATGCTATGGTAACTTCTGAAGGTAATGGATGTCCTTCCGCAGTAGGTTGTTCTCTCACTACCGTTTGAAGCTTTGTGTTAAAAACTTTCATGTCATCTCCTGTGTCTAGGTTCACATACACAGCAACAGGAAAACTATCTTGCTTCTTTGTTTCATCATTATACCTCAAAACATTAAAGTTCTTCAATAATATTGTTCTTCCTGCTGGAATACTTCTAACTTGTCTTATTTCAATAGCTTTCTCACCTCCTACATACTCTACCCAGTGTCTTGGATATTCATAAGTATACTGACTTTCTTGAATTTTGGTTGGTTTCATCATAACATGTTCATAGTATATCTTTATACTCTTGTCAGTTAGACTCGGTGCTATGTTCTGAATATTTCTGACTTGCATTTTTAATGGAGATAAAATGAAGCATTTAATACATGACGTAGATGAAGACATGAATGAAAGCAGTGAAAAGCTCAACAGTTCTCTCATTCTTCCTTTCAGTAAGGACTATGAGTTCTGTTCAAATGGTGTTTATTTCTATTGTGGAAAGATGGGTTCAGGTAAGACATTTAACCTCATTCGTCATATACTCATAACAGAACGTTTAGGAAACGACTCTTACTATGACCAAATCATTATATCAGCAACTTCAGACTCTATGGATTCAACAGCGAAAACATTTATGTCAAAAGTTCAAGCCTCTGTCGTTAAAGTTCCAGACAGTGAACTCATTGAATTTCTTCAACGTTACATTCGACGTAAGAGAAAATATTATGCCATCGTTGAATTTATACAGTCAGGAATGCAAAAGACTTCTGAGGAGATGGAAAGAATTATTGACAAACACCACTTACGTCAATACTCAGGAGTTTACGATATGAAACGACTTACAAACTACATTCTGTCAAAACTTTCAAAATACCCCTTCAAAAAATATCCTTCAAACACTTTATTAGTTTGTGACGACTTCGCCGGAAAAGGTTTAGTGTCAAAGCCTGACTCACCATTAGCTAACATCATTACTAAAGTCAGACATTACCATTTAACTGTAGCAATACTTATGCAAACATGGAGGTTTTTAGCTTTAAACATAAAGCGTCTCATAACTGACTTCGTTATCTTTCAAGGTTTCTCACGTTATGATATTGAACTCATTTGGAAACAGTCAGGTATAACATTACCTTTTGAAGAAATTTGGGAAGCATATAAGTCTCTCATCTCTCCTCGTTCATACCTTGAGATTCATATCATGACTAATACCATTAAAGTCAAAAATATTCCATGGGAACGACCAACATTGTTTTAAAGTTTAACCTTCAATTGACTGATGGTAAACAAATTCCATGCATCTCTGTCGCCATTTCTGTTAATATTTTTGCTGTCATTCATATCATCCACTTCCCCATCCGTTAGCTTTTGAGGATATGCGTTAGAATAGCTGTTCTTAAATGAAGGCTTTTCACCTTTGAGAGCATAAACTCTATAACTTTCTGCATACTTTATGTTTGAACCTCCTGAGCCATCATTGACATAAATTTTTATAGGCTTCCACCCTTTGTTCATATTCCTGCTTCTTCCCTTTGCTCTTTTGTTCAGTAGTTCTACATCTTTATACACAGCACCTGTCTCAGTGAATTCAACAATATTTTCATTCGTTAGCTTTACATTCAAACCCTTGTCGAGTATATTGTTCATTTCATACATATAAAAGGTTTTTATTCTATATGAAATGAGAAGCAAATCCATCTTAGCTGGTGCCGTTAATGTTCCAATTGAACCAACATCAAATGTTGACTCACGAACGACAAACAATATTGTCATAAAGAACTATAGTTCGGTGTGTTTGAAAGAAAAAGAACCAGATCTTAAGTCGGTGAATTTAAACACAGCTTCAAACACTAACGCTACATCAGATGTTAAGTTAGAGTATCCACCACTGGACCAAGTTCTTTCAAGAGAAGCCAACGACAACCCTTACACAAATGTTCAAACAAATCCTTCAGATAACGTAGACCATTACCTTCTTCAGTTATACCAAACAATTTTACTCAAAGACGATAAGAAGCTTTTGACAAATCTTATAAGTAAGAACCAAATAATTCTAACAAAGGAGGACCTTGAAAATGTTATCTCACGAATAACAGGGAAACAATGTGTCATTGACTATCTCGACCCTGAAATCGAATGCTGTGGTCAAACTCCACTATTCATGAAAATAGGTAACATCCGCATCATTGAAACACCAGGAACTACAGGAGTTGAGTTTAAGTATAAATATTCGAACGAGTATACAAAACTATCTACTGACTATAAGCTTTGTTTGAAATATGTTTTAGTAAATTAAAGCAGTCAGGAGGGCTCTTTGAGCCCATCTTGGCGCTTTGCGCCGTCAGTCAAAAAATTTCAAGTTAGCAATTTGTAATATCTATCCAAAACTTCTTCAACAGTATCGAACTCATCTTCATAATGCAAACCTAATCTTATTGACTTGGTGCAGTTTTCACTAACACAATATTTTTCTGTTCTCTTGACTGACCTAACTAACTCATTTGTTTCATCAAACAGCAACAACCAAAGTTCATGACCTAATACATAACATTCATACTTTATATTTTTAGCTCTGAGTTCTCTTGTAAGCTCTTGCATTTAATATTTTCTAAAAAGTCAACTTCAACAGTCATTCGCACTGGTGCCTTCAGTTCTACAGGCTCTCCTTGAAAGTCAACAAGTCTGAATTGCATGTCTTTCAAATTATGAGGACTAATGCGAACCCATTTACCTAAATGAGTTGCTATGACAGGAACGTTTGGAATGAACATTGAATTGACTGCATAACAGAAAGACTTATATTCTACTGAACCTTTACTATTAACTCCTGAAATACCTGTGACATTAGCTATTTTTGACTCAATGTACAAACAATTACCATAACATACGTATGGAACAGATTTCATCTCAATCGTTTTGTCAACACTTTTCAAAGGAAATGTCATATGGTATGCACCCAAAAGAAGTTGTACTCTATGACTCATTCTTGGTATCTTAAACTCTTTCTCGCTGCTGAACTTCAATGTTCCCTCAGAAGAGAGTTCGACATCTATGTTGTCAATAGTTTCTTCATTTATGAGAGTATCTATGACTCCAGCAATTTTATCTATTCTATACCCAGCTCTATTAGGAAATGTTATAACACTTCTTTTGTCATCTATTTCAATCTCTATGAAATCTGTTTCATCTGTTATGACAAAAGTTGCGATAGTATTGAAGTCAACAACTCTGAAAGCAAGCGCTTCATTCTGAAGACCTAAGTTTGTTTGTAGCTTTACTGTCCCGTATTCGTTTGGGTCTGTACTTTGCAAATAGAACAACATTTTATTCTCATTAAAATATGACTATTGCTGCATATGCGTATGAAACAAATGAAGCAAGAAGAGCACATGAACTAGTAAACGAAAACTCAACTTTAACCATTGAAGGCAATGATTTAGTCATTGACGATGGAAAAACTAAAAAAGTCATTGATTTCGATACTTTTAACACTTATGACCCATTCATTACAACAAGCAAGGTTCCCATCATAAATGATGGAACGGTGCAATATATAAATTCTACAGTAGATGCCTCATTAGTGAAAGTATTAAATGTTCTCATTGAATTGTTAAAGAGCTTTCGATTTGACGACAACATTAAATGCCTAAAGAATTTAGTCATGAATGAGAAACAAATTCTCGGCGTTGCTGGTAGCAGTAATGATGTACACCTTATGACATTAGAATATTATAACGAACATAAAGATGAACTGAAAGGAGAGAAGGGTGACACCGGACCTCAAGGACCACAAGGAATACAAGGAATACAAGGACCTCAAGGCGAAAACGGTTTGGATGGTGAAGATGGAAAGGATGGAAAAACTGCTAAATCATGGATATGGAACCTTATAAATACTGGTTTAACAGCTGCTTCATATGGAGTTCTTCAATACCAAATCGGAAAGATATGGGCAGTACTTGGTGAAGAAGTTTTAGATGACGTTAAAAATGCTTTGAACTTCATTTCAAATGGTTCGGATACTATTAAAACTTTATCTGGTTGGATGCAAGAAACAAGGAGTCAAATAGATACTGTAAGACGTATAGCAAACAATGCACGTACGGATTGGATACTTTACGAGAAGCACAAAATACACTAAAGGAAGCAAATGATATTCTTGGCTCAGTATCAGACATGCATGAAGATTGGCTTAAAGGTATTGACAAATCTTTAAAAAATCACAGTCAGTCTATTGCTGACTACAAGAAAAGTATAGATTTTTTACATAGTGCTATGGACGTACATGATGGAAGCATAAGGAACTTACTTAATGCTAACAATAACTTACCAGGAACTATTAAAGCATTTATAAAGTCCTTTGTAAAACCTGGTGCTCTAACATTTAGGTCTTTGAGAGCAAGAGCATTGAAGTCAAGAGATGCAGAGAAACTCCAACAGAAACTCCAGAAGAACCACCAAAACCAACAGCTAATGAAATATTGTTCGAATATTTTCCAAGGTACTCTGTTCTCATTGCATACATTCAAGAAATACTTAAGAAAGCAGACTTGACTTTAGGAGATGATGAAAGTTCTGTATATCTTTCGTTCCAGTTTCAAATAGCAGAACTTTTGAGACAGATATGCTTAATGTATGACAACATCTCTGATTTCACAAGATATGATGACGACCATGACCCCGAACACGGTGAAGAAGAAGTTTTACAAACATCAATTAAGACAGGAAAGGTTTTAACTCAAAGTCTCATTATTGACACCAAAGATGGCGAAGTGGACGTTCTTCAAGAGCTGAAGAAAAATACTTCTTCGGGAGGTGGTGGTAGGCATGAACTTGAAATAAATGAGATAGAAGAGAAATTAGCCGAAAAAGCAGATAAAAACCATGTTCATTATATAAGTTCAGACGAACAGATTATAACGGACTACCATGGATATTTAACACAGGATGAACAAATAAGCACTGAAGATGTTAATGAAAGAAGATATAAATTCATTCGTGCTAAAGGTTATGACATAAGCTGTACTGTACAGTATGACACAGGTAAAGCACAAGAAGCATTTGGTTATAACGATGAAATTTATGCCTCATACTTCTTTGTTAACGGTGTATTAGTTGAACCAAGATTTACATTGAGAGTTAAGGCAAAAATAACTTTTGAAGATGCTATTAAAAGTAAAGCTGACAAAGATGAACTTGACGCAACGAACAAAGTTTTGAAATCTCATAAACACAATATCTCCGATATAAATGAACTTCAAGCTACATTAAATAATAAAGCAGACAAAAACCATACACATGAATCCTTCACTACTGTTAGAGCAGACGACATAATATTGAACTTTGACCTTGGTTCAAGTGCACCATTAGAAAATCCAAGTACAAGCGTAAAAGATACTCTTAACAATTTAGATAACAGTTGCAGGAATATCGAAGATCATGCCAGAAACTTTGAAGCATATGAACTACCAACAATGTTAGATAAGAAAGCAGACAAAACAGAGCTTCAAACATTAAAGACTGAAATACTTCAAACATTATATCCTGTTGGTTCTATTTATACGTCAATGAACTCAACAAATCCAGCAAGTGTTTTAGGTTTTGGTACGTGGAAGCAGATTGTAGACAAATTCTTATACTGTGCTAGATATTCAAAGCAAACAGGAGGTTCGAAGAAAATTAAAGAAGCAAACCTTCCACCACACACTCATACAGGAACTACAAACACAACAGGTAATCATTCACATTCAATAACAAAAAGAGGTTATACAAATCTTGCAGCGGGTTCGGATAGACAGGGAATGAATAGAAATGATATTTCAACTGACCCAGTAGATTCAAACGCAGGTATTTTCTGTGGAACCACAAGAAATCATTCACACACTTTCACAACAAATCCAACGGGTTCGGGTGCAGATTACATGCCACCATTTGTGACTGTATTCGCATGGTTCAGAGCTGCTTAAAATCTTTAACTTTACATAAATGAGCTTGAAAGAAGTATTCGAACAACATCCATGGAGGTCATTTAAGAAGTTCAATGAAGCAGCAAAAAGTTGGGGATTTACTAACAGAGCTGAAGTTAAAAAGTTCTTTGACAAAAATGTTGTACATCAAACAAAAATAAACCCTTACGACTACTTTTTACCAATTTACTCCAACACTCCTGACGCATACCAATTTGACACTCTCATTCAAAGCAGAAAAGGAGGACATAAACCATTCCTCATCTTCATTAATGTTAACACTCGCAAAGCTTTTGCGTATATAATGATGAATAAAGGAACTCGTGAAGTGTTAAGAGTTTTACAAAAGTTTGTAGCAGAACATAGCCCAAGTACTTTAACATCAGACCAAGACAGTGCATACCTCAGCAATGAAATCACAGACTTTCTCATTAAGCATAACATAACTCACTACACTACTGAAGACCATAACCATAACATACTCGGCATCATAAACCGCTTCATAAGGACTCTCAGAGATTTAAACCAAGAGCGAGACTTTACCGAAGAAACAATGAAACACTTTCTCGAAGTATATAATTCCTCAACACATTCTACAACAGGACATACACCAAATTCAATGACACAACAACAAGAAGAAAAGTATATACAAAAGAAACGAAGCCAAACACAAAATATCAGAAATTCAACACAATTTACCCTCATTCCTGGTACAAAAGTTCGTGTAGTTCTTGACGACAAACCGTTGACAAAGAAACGTTTAAGGTTAAGTCGAAATTATTATATCGTAGATTCAACGCAAGGTAATGGATATCTTATAAAAGCTGCTGACGACTCCATAGCATTTTACCCTCGTCATAAATTAGTCGAAAGTAGTAATGGCAAACTTGCTAAAACCATTGACGAAGCAAAGCGAGGAGTGGTTATTGAAATACTTGGCTATAACACAAACGATGACACTTATAAAGTAAGATATGAAGGAGGCGTTGAAGATGTTATACCATCTAAGAACTTGAGAGAGTCGAAGCCAACACATCTGGGACCATTAGAGCGGGAGTATTGGAAAGACAAAAATATGCCAGAAAGAATAAGAAAATTCTTCTAAACTTTTTCATTAGATGTAAATCAGACATGAACGAGAACAGTCATGATATCATTAATGGTACCATTTATTTACACCAAAAATAAAGTTTATGTTAGAATGTTAGATCTAACACGTTTTCTAACCACTTTTCTAACCTCATTTCTACCCTCATGAATTTCCTTAAGACAGAAAAAATAACGTTAGTTTTATTTTTTTCTAACTTTTTATCTTGTAGGTAAGAACAGAAATGTCAGTCGAAGCAAAAACATTCACTAACAAATCTAATGGCGAAACATTCACAAAAGGCACTTATAACGGTATTGAAGTCTTACGTAGAGACAAGGATGGTTATATAAATGCAACAAAGATGGCAAGAGAAGCAGGAAAGTTAAACCATTTAAACAGATTTCTCAATAGTGCTAAAATGCAGGAAATTCTTGAGTTTTGGTTGAAAGAATACGGTCGAGCCAAAAGTGGCTCGACCTCAAAACAAGCATTTTATGAGCTTACTAAGGGTGTTATAAATGAATTCAAAGGTATTTACATACATCCTGACTTCGTTCATTTTGTTGCTGAATGGTGCTCTGTAAAGTATGCATTTTATGTCAAAGATATTATGGACTCCATAGACAAGAAAGTTCATGAGAAGTTAGATGAAGAAGAACTCGAAGATACAGTAGAGAATGCAAAACATTTGTTTGAAGAAGAAGTTAGAAAAATGCATGAAAAACAATTAGAACATGAACGTGAGATATGTTATGGTTATAGAGATTCTCCATACGAACTAGACCAATGGGAACAAGAAGATTTAAAGAGAGAATTTAGAGAATATGAACTCGCTAAGATAGCATTAGAAGCTGCAGAAAAGAAGTTAAAAGTTTGGGGTCGTTTTGTACAAAAATATTGTGAGTAAATGAACTCATTATTTTTGCTGAATTCGTGAGATTCTGAGTAAAATGGCATATGGCATGTGTCAAACCGTTGAGTTTTCACAAAATTCCAAAAATAACGTTTACCATGTAAAACGGTTATAAATAATGAGGGTAGAATTCGTGGTAGAAATTAGGTTAGATATACCCATCTACCCTAAAAATTATTTTTGCTGAATTCAGCACAAAATTCTGAGTAAAATGACATATGGCACGTGTCAAACTGTTGAGTTTTCACAAATTTTAAAAATTGCTGCGGAAAGTTCGTCAAAAAAGTGAAGGTTCCCGACGGTTTCAAACCGCCATACTTTACATGAAGATAGTTTACAATGTCAACTAAATATCATGTACGATAGAAACAGTTATGTAAAGTTTACATTTTGTAAAGTTTTGTCTTGAATCAGGACAAGTCTTGTATTTTTTCAGAACAAGTCTTGTATTTTTTCAAGACAAATCTTGTCCTGATTCAGAACAAGACTTGCACTTTTTAGTCAGTTTTTCTTGTAAAGTTCTCAAATTTGAGAACAATTGTCCTGATTCAAGACAAGTCTTGCACTTTTTCAGGAAATCCTATCGTCCAACTTTACAAATGTCACTTTTCAACATGATTGCATTTTGGTCGGGGAACAACTTTCTCTCATTTTGTCACTTTTTCTATCGTCGTGTTTTGTCACTTTCCCCTCAGGGTGTGTGTCAGAAAATATCCAAAATCTTTATAGCCTCGTATCTCCTTCAATTCTTGACGGTTTGACATGTATGACACACCATTCAATTCAGAATTATGTGCTGAATCTTATGACCTTCATTTGTTCGTGACTTCTTTTCACATATGTAACCATGAATTTTTAACATTTCTTTAACACAGAAAAATAAAGTTAGTTTTATTTTTATTTATTTTTTTATTTTGTATGTAAGAACAGAAATGTCAACATTAGAGAACACAACAACTGCTATCGTTCATGAAGCCATAAATGAAGAATACGAATACATACAATATAACAAACAACTTCGCCTCATTCGTTCGGTCAAAGATGACATGTACCAAATGCAAAGTATAATGAATGCTCTTCGTTCTACAAAGCAAGCATATCATTGGTTTGAAAACCAACAGACAAAAGAACTTTTAGAAGAATTTCCTCATATGATTGCTTCCCTCGGAAAACCGGGGGAAGAGATTCCGTATGAAAATCGCAAGAATTTGGCTCCTGGTTTGAAAGGTTATTATGTTCATAGACTTTTAGTAAACGCTGTAGCAATGTGGGCTTCACCTCGTTATGCTTGTTATATTTTCATGATGTTAGATGAACTATATAAAGCAGAACGTGAAGATATGGAAAAGAAACTTCAAGCAAAAGATGAAGTCATTGAATCCAAAGACAAAAGCATACAGAAAAGAATACCGCGTTCGGTACCAAAAGGAAAGGAAAAGAGTTATAAGTATATGATATATACTGAAGAGATGGAAAATGAAGAAGATAAAGATATGGTTATGTTGCATTTAGTGAGAAGAAACAACAAGAGCTTTTATGACTTAGCTAAGATATATAAATCTGATAGAAACTGGTTCTATCGTGAAAACTTACCGATTTCAATGACACCGAATGCGCAAATAAAGGAAATTGTCAAAAATACTCTTCCTCAAACACACTATGACATCAAAGGTTGCACAATACTTACATTCAAAGAAGACTTAACATTACTGAAGGAAAAAATAACAGAATATTTCGATAACTTCAAAGAGGAAGAATAAAAAAATCTAAGCTAATTTTATTTTTTTTTATAAAATTTTATCTCATATGAAAGAACATGAATTTAGAATATTCGGAACTCATGACAGAAGAAGAGAACGAACAACATGTAAAAGATTATGCAAAATTTCTGAAGACATACAAAGCATTTAAACAATATCTAAATGCTTCTAAAGATTATGCAAAATTTCTGAAGGTATATAAAGCTTATGAAAAAGCGTATGAAAAGTTTATACATTGGGGAATTGTTGTAAAATATCCATATGAAGACTAACCAAAAATATATTTTTGCTTAAATGACGTCAGGGTCAATTTCTTCAACCATTTCACTTTCTTCGTCAATGTCAATAGAAGCTTCTTCAACCTTTGGTAAGAATTTCTGTATAACATCTTTGTTCGTTATTGTCTTCAGAGATGAAGGATAATATTTCACATTTGTTTCACCCTTCTTATATTCTTTCTGTTCGGAAAGATTTAAAGCAATACTGAAGAAGTCAATGTTAGAGTTCTTTATGACAGTATAATGAGTATCTTTGACATTCACGAAGAAACTCTTTTGTTTCAAAACTACTGCTAACTCTTGTGAAGTATAACGTTTGCGGTCAATGACGATAGCTAATGGTCTGACATACTGACCAAACTTAGATTCTTTCACAAACTTCTTGTTAAAGATAACATTAACATTTGAAGCATTATTGAACTCATTCTTGATGGCAGTAGCGAGAGCATTGTATGAAAAGAACTTGCAATCTTGCATGTGTTTCATTAAAATAAAAATATTAAATTATTTTGAAAAATAACTTAAAAAATCTAATCTAATTTTTTCAAAAAAATATTTTTTTATTTCCTACTAAAGATGTATCGGAAGTTGTCTAAGTTAGAACACTCGGAAATAAAACAACTTCTTACAGAAGCTAATATAGATGTTGCAAAGCATTACGCAACAAACAAAAAAGCACTCGCTGACATCCTCAATGACTATAATGGTGCAATAAGTTATGATAGAATTCATGAGTTCATAAAGCCGCAACGCGGCGAGGACGAAGTCCATGCAAGAGCATTTCCTTTAAATGACGTTGCTATTGACTTATATCATAGACGTTCAGTACCTCATGAAGTAAGAAGAGAAATGTTTGACATAACAAATGCAAACGTTGGTGAAACAAGAAGAAGAGACGACACACTGAAACAACAGAGAAGAGAGATGTTTAAGAGCGCTATAGAACAAGTTCGCAAAGCTAACGATGTCATTCGTTCCATTGACGACAAACCAAAAGAAGGTGAGAGATGGTTAAAGAAAGATGAAGAGAATAGGAAGAGAAATGTGAAGTCAGGCAATAGACTCATTGACTTTAACATCGAAGCTTTAGATGAACCAAACAGAGACTACTTACACAAACATTTCGGTAAGGTTTTCATGAGACTCTTAGAGAAGATTAAAATAAACTCCCAACAAAGATGGATGGTATGTTATAAACTTGGTGGAAAGTATGAATGTTCTACGTTAAACCTCAATAATATTGGAACATTACTACATCAGCTCTTGAAGGAGAACTTTATATCAGAGATAGAAGCAAATGCTGCAGGTATTGTTGAAATGCACTATGACTTCTTCTTGACAAACATAAAGAATCTTACTGAAATAAAGATGTATGATTTAACAGAATATGAAGGCTTAACGATGTCAGATGTAAAGAAAGGCAAACCAAAAAAGAGACCATATAGAGATGAAAGCACACTGACAAATGACCAGAAAGCCATTTTGGAAGCTCTTAAGCAAACAGGAAACCCAGCACTTATAGAAAGCTTTTGGAAAGATAATGGTGAAAAGAAGTTTTATAAGAAGAGAAGCGGTCAGTTCTGGAAGTATCTTTGCACATTACCTATAAATCTTGAACGCTACCAAATCTTCAATGAACTGAACAAAAGAACTGCAACACTTATGACAGAAGATAACTGCTTCGTTTATGCTTGCATTCAGGCTGGAGTAAATGAAGAAACTATTGACCACATGAGAGAAGTCATTCGTGTTAGAGACTTTCCTCAAAGTAAAGTACAAGAAATTTCTGACGCAACTGGTATAGCATTTAATGTTACCATTGGTTATTTCAATGACTCAAGACATAATGAAATAAAGAGATATATACCAAAAGAATGTGAAACTGTTCGAACTATTGACTTACTTCTTGTTGAAGACCACTACATGCTAAATGAAAGACTTCCAATGACAACATATTTCATTCGCAACTATATAGAAATCTTGAAGGAGTGTGGTGGAATGAACATTGAGAAACAGATGAAGATTTATACAAAGAGAGAAGATAAATATGTAGTTCGCATGGATAGAACTACACCGCTATGGGATGTTATGAAAACATTGTGGGAGTGCAAATATTTCGAACCTATTTCTTATGGAGAACTTTTCACATATACGACTGACTTATATAAACAGAACCTTGCACCATTTAAAGATTTGACATATGCTCCAAAGTATTGTGTACAACTGAAGAAGAAAGCAGAGTCAAAAGAAGTAAATAAAGCTAAATGTAAGTTCATTCCTGAGCATGTTTTCTTTGCTGACTTTGAGTGTAGCACAGACGGCTTTCATAAAGCTTTTAACATCTGTTACGACAGTGAAGATGGTTCAGTGAGTGAAAGCATATGGGGTCAAAACTGTGCAACAGAATTTTTGGAACGACTTCCTGACAAGAGTTTAATATATTTCCATAACCTCAGCTATGATATAAACTTCATCTTAAGACACATGACAGAAGTGAAAGGAACTCCCATCATTAAAGGTTCACGAACAATGCAAATAACTGGTTTATATAAAGGACGGGCAATTATTATAAAAGACTCTTACAGTGTTATAAATAAGAAGCTTAAACTATTTCCTGCTATGTTTAACTTACAAACAGGACCGAAAGAAGTATTTCCATATAACTACTACAGCAGTACTTTGTTAGCAAATGACAACAGAACTGGTGTCATTTCTGAAGCATGTAAGTTTATCCAGGATGCAGATACATTTATGAAAAACATAGATTCCATCAAAGGTTGCAGAATAGATGAAAACCATTTCGACTTAGAAAAATATAGCACGTTTTACTGCAAACAAGATGTAAGAATTTTAAGAGAAGGTTTTGTTAAGTTCCGCAATGACATATTGAAAGAATTTGATTTAAACGTTTATGACTACGTTAGTATTTGTTCTATTGCTAACAAATTGTTTGAGAACAGAGTGTACTTCCCGAATGGAAATTTATATGACCTCTCAAATAAACCAAGAGAATTTATTTCGAGATGCATTCAAGGTGGAAGATGTATGCTGTCAGATAACATGAAACAAAAGAGCGAAAAGAAACTCATTGCTGACTTCGACGCTGTTTCATTATATCCATCAGCTATAGCAAGACTTTATACTTTAGAAGGAATTCCAAAGGTTATGAAGGATGAGATGCTAAGCACAGAGTATCTCATGAGACATTTATTCGATGACGACCAAAAGGAACCCATTGGTGAAAAGTTTATGTCTGGCTTCTTTGTTCTCATTAAGATAACAGAGATTGGAATACATAGACACTTTCCTTTAATAGTTTGTGACCCTGAACTAAATCCAGAACTTAACGTTCCCAGAAGTTCAAACACTTGCTGTTTAATGTATGTTGACCATATAACATTACAAGACCTCATAAAATATCAAGGTGTCAAATGTGAAGTGTTGCAAGGATACTATTACGATGGAAACAGAGATATTAGAATAAGAGATGAAGTAAAGAAGTTGTTTGAGTTAAGGTTAAAGTATAAGAAAGAAGGAAATCCTTTGCAAGAAAATATAAAGCTCATTCTGAACAGTATTTATGGCAAAACTATTCTATCTCCTATTGAGTCAAAAATAACCATAGTAGATGACAAAGATGCTATAAGATATGCCATCAGAAACTACAACCATATAGTGAAGTTCGAAGGTTTGGATGGTTCAGATAAAACTATTTTCAAGCTAACGAAAAGCATTTGCAGACACTTTAACTTCTGTCCACTTGGTGTTAACATTCTGTCTATGTCGAAGAGAATAATGTGTGAAGTATTCTGTACTGCTGAGGACTTAGGAATGGACATCTTTTATAGCGATACGGACAGTATGCATCTCTACAATGAAGATATCCCTCGTTTAGATGAAGAGTTTGAGAAACGTTATGGAAGAGTTCTCATTGGTAAAAACCTTGGTCAATTTCATAGCGACTTTGCAGAAATCACAAAAGATAAACAAAGTTTAGCATACAAGTCAATATAGGGTGTCCAAAGGTGCGTTTAGCACAGCGCTCTATATGAGACTATTAAAGGAGATATATGCTGATTATAAATATATAATAAAAAATATGAATATATGTATATGATGAGTATGTTGTATTTTGGCGCCATGCCGGGATATAAAATGAATTTTGAGACAAGAGGCGGTTTCGCGGGAAATTTTGGCGGGATTTTTTTCATTTTTTTAATGAATCATAAAGAAAACATCCTCGCTCTTGCAAAAAAATGCAAAGACTGTAAAAAAATCTACGAGACATTGGTAAAATGCTTCGGTATGGATGCTCCTAGCTATTCCACTGTAACGTATCATGTTAGGATGTATCACTTCATGAACAAAAAGGCGCCCATCATAAAAATTGACAAAAAATCACCGGATCAAAGAAAAATCAAAGCAATTCTTCAAGCGCTAGATGAAGACCCAAGAGCATCACTCAGAAGGATAGAGGAGATGACAAAGATACCACGTACAACAGTCAGAGATTCATATTTCGTTGCCAAATCGCGAAAATATTCATTATTGACAAAGTTATATCTATAATAGTATTGAACTAAAATATGGTTTTGAAAATTTAATATAATAAAATCATTTTGAATTTAAATGTAAAGTTCTGGTAAGGAGTTAAATTAAGAAAGAATAATTGAGTAATTGAGAGATATTTGATAAGTTAGGGAGAAAATTTCACATACATTGAAGTAAATATATGTTATTGCAAGAGTTAGGATGAGTCTATGACTGAGGTAAGGATGACTTTTTGTCTGAGGTAAGGATGAGTCAATGACTGAGGTAAGGATGAGTCAATGTCTGAGGTAAGGATGAGTCTATGACTGAGTTAAGGATGATTCAATGACTGAGATAAGGATGAGTCAATGACTGAGGTAAGGATGAATTTTTGTCTGAGGTAAGGATGAGTCAATGACTGAGGTAAGGATGAATTTTTGTCTGAGGTAAGGATGAGTCTATGACTGAGGTAAGGATGAGTTTATGACTGAGGTAAGGATGAGTCAATGACTGAGGTAAGGATGAATTTTTGTCTGAGGTAAGGATGAGTCAATGACTGAGGTAAGGATGAGTCAATGACTGAGGTAAGGATGAGTCAATGACTGAGGTAAGGATGAGTTGTTGTCTGAGGTAAGGATGAGTTGTTGTCTGAGGTAAGGATGAGTCAATGACTGAGGTAAGGATGAGTTGTTGTCTGAGGTAAGGATGAGTCAATGACTAAGGTAAGGATGAGTTGTTGTCTGAGGTAAGGATGAGTCAATGACTAAGGTAAGGATGAGTCAATGACTGAGGTAAGGATGACTTTTTGTCTGAGTTAAGGATGAGTCAATGACTGAGGTAAGGATGAGTCAATGACTGAGGTAAGGATGAGTTGTTGTCTGAGGTAAGGATGAGTCAATGACTAAGGTAAGGATGAGTCTATGACTAAGGTAAGGATGAGTTTATGACTGAGGTAAGGATGAGTCAATGACTGAGGTAAGGATGACTTTTTGTCTGAGTTAAGGATGAGTCAATGACTGAGGTAAGGATGAGTCAATGACTGAGGTAAGGATGAGTTGTTGTCTGAGGTAAGGATGAGTCAATGACTAAGGTAAGGATGAGTCTATGACTAAGGTAAGGATGAGTTTATGACTGAGGTAAGGATGAGTCAATGACTGAGGTAAGGATGACTTTTTGTCTGAGGTAAGGATGAGTCAATGACTGAGGTAAGGATGAGTCAATAACTGAGGTAAGGATGACTTTTTGTCTGAGGTAAGGATGAGTTTATGACTGAGGTAAGGATGAGTCAATGACTGAGGTAAGGATGACTTTTTGTCTGAGTTAAGGATGAGTCAATGACTGAGGTAAGGATGAGTCAATGACTGAGGTAAGGATGAGTTGTTGTCTGAGGTAAGGATGAGTCAATGACTTAGGTAAGGATCATTCCATTCCAAATATATCACAACACCTACACCTTACACAACCCACAAATCATCTCCAAATTTCTTTTCAGAACTTCTTTTAAATGAGCATTTTTCAATCAACAAACATCCCTTCTTTTGCCCGCACAAAAGGTTTCAGATGTTATCTTGTTCCAGAAACTCATGAAACAAAGTTCTAAATGAAAATCCACGGAATGAGCTTGTTCAATAGCATTATCAATAAAAAGAAATCTATGGTATCGCCCGCACAATACCAAAAGATTCCATTTTGTAATGAATGATTACTATGATCCAAGGATGGTTCCGTAGACTTGAAAATTTTAAATTGGAGGTTTAATTCAAATTTGGCGGGCTTTTGGTCGTAGATTAATTTAACTAATATGAATTTGGATTGTGCTTTCCTTATTGATGTAATGATATTTTCACTAATAAAAAATGAAATATACACAAGAAAAATTATTCAAAAATTATCATTGCATTTTATTTGAAGAAATTTTGAAAACACATCATACACATACTATAAATGAATATTATCATCTTAATTTTAATAAATTTCATTTACTTGGAAAGATGCAAGATCATCTTGTACTTACTCTTCGATTTATTCCATGTAACTTCGCAGGTAATAATGGCGCACTTACCTCTATTTTGGATTTTTATAGTTTCCCTCAAAACACATTCTATGAACTTACGCTCGTATCGCGTTAAAAAATGTCGTTAAAATTGCCCACACGCCAGCATATTATATAATTGTGGTCATAGGCCGAGTGGCGTGGAAAGGATGTCGCCCTTCGGGCTCCACCCTTTCCACGCCACGAGGCCCGATTTTTGGCCACTCTTTTGATTTTGGCCGCGTGCCAGCTCCTGGCAGGCGGCCCGCAAAATTGTGCCAGTTTGTACAATCCTACCGTCACCGGTCACATTTTAAAGATTTTTCCCTTCCTTTTTTTCTAGTTTTGGAAAGGAAAAAGTAAAAAATTTAATAATTAATTTTATTACTATGAAAATATACTTTTTAGCTTATATTGTAAGCTGTGAGAGTTTTAAGTGATGGAAGATATAAATCAAATTTTAAATTCAAGAAATCTTGTTATGATTAAGTTGAATATTGTACTCTAATTAAGAGTTTTCAGTTATGAACTCAGGTATTATATAATAAAAGTATAACTCAAGATAATAAAGAGGTTTTTAAAATGTAGATCTGAAAATCAAACTACCATGTTTGATATGAATAAGTTGAATAATGTTATTTTATTAAATGGTTCAAATCTGTGAAATCGGCAATTACAAATTAAAGGCGTAGTTCAAAAAATTAAAGAGATTTTAAAAATTTAATATCAGAATTAAACTAAAAAAAGGATTTAGTTATTTCAGTAATTATCAGAAAAGGTTAAAAAGATAGGGTAAGTAATGAGACTTGAGTGAGATGTGAGAAATCATATGTAAATAATTAGATATCTGGTTAGTAAGGTAGTAATGAGAGTTAAGATCTGGTTAGTAAGGTAGTAATGAGAGTTAAGATCTGGTTAGTAAGGTAGTAATGAGAGTTAAGATCTGGTTAGTAAGGTAGTAATGAGAGTTAAGATCTGGTTAGTAAGGTAGTAATGAGAGTTAAGATCTGGTTAGTAAGGTAGTAATGAGAGTTAAGATCTGGTTAGTAAGGTAGTAATGAGAGTTAAGATCTGGTTAGTAAGGTAGTAATGAGAGTTAAGATCTGGTTAGTAAGGTAGTAATGAGAGTTAAGATCTGGTTAGTAAGGTAGTAATGAGAGTTAAGATCTGGTTAGTAAGGTAGTAATGAGAGTTAAGATCTGGTTAGTAAGGTAGTAATGAGAGTTAAGATCTGGTTAGTAAGGTAGTAATGAGAGTTAAGATCTGGTTAGTAAGGTAGTAATGAGAGTTAAGATCTGGTTAGTAAGGTAGTAATGAGAGTTAAGATCTGGTTAGTAAGGTAGTAATGAGAGTTAAGATCTGGTTAGTAAGGTAGTAATGAGAGTTAAGATCTGGTTAGTAAGGTAGTAATGAGAGTTAAGATCTGGTTAGTAAGGTAGTAATGAGAGTTAAGATCTGATGAGTAAGGTAGTAATGAGAGTTAAGATCTGGTTAGTAAGGTCGGAGAGTTAAGATCTGGTTAGTAAGGTAGTAATGAGAGATCTGCGGGCAGTAATGATACATCTATGAGTACATAACTAAAACCTGAGTTCTATGAGCGAAATCTGAGAGCTAAAAGCCGAGAGATCTAAGGTAAGTAATGAGAGAAGAGAATTTGAAATTTTACAAAATACGTTTACTCATACAAAATAATTTGCATTCTTTTATAACGAATCTCAATGCCAATTAATACATAAAACAGATTTTAGCAATCAATTGCAAGATTTAGAAAGATTTTATTTATAATCTCAGCCAAATTAACAAATATTTTATTGATTTCGTAAAAAATAGCAATAAAACATAAAAATATGACATTCTTTTTTTTCCAAAAAAATTTCAAAAATCATTTTTTAACATGAAATTTATATTTTTTAATTTTTTTTTTAAATTTTGAATTTTTTTTTGGAATTTTCAACCATGTCAAAAGTCGGGATCTACAAATGTATTCTCTTTGACATAGGATAAAAACATCCTTTCTTATAATTTCATTGTAAAATAAAATTTTCTTAAATTTATTGAATCCAAACTCAACTTTGCAACATTTTATTATCATAAAAACTAAGAAACATCAGGTAAACTTCAATTTGGAGAGCTTAAAATCATATCTAAATTGAAAAATAAGGGGAAAAAAATTGTAAAAAAAAATCTCATTAGATGGGGCAAAAAGTGACTTTTTTAATGTGTTTTTTTAAAAAAATCGTGCCAGCTGGCCAAAAAAGGTGTGCCAGCAGGCGTGCCAGTTTGTACAACCCTAGGTGACGGAAATCCATGGTAACCAACCGCGGTTCCCGTTTGGAATGCCATAAAATAAAGTGTATTATCTTAGCTAATATTTACATATATTTTGACGGAATTGCTCGAAATAAAATTGGGCAATTTAATTAATTGAATAGAGGGAACAAACTACATGAAATAATATTGCATACCAATAACTCCATGTATTTGCCAATGAAGAAGTTTGATAAAGCACTGTCAAAAAATTTGATAAATTGTGGCCTGAGGATAGGAGAAATTCTTTTATATATAAGTTTAGCATACTGTATGTCATACATTTATATCATTAAAAATGGGCTGGCAATTTCGCGGGCTTTTCACATCAAAGCTCTCAAAAAGTGATATATCTATTAGAATTTTGTTTCAAATGTTTCCAGAAGGATCACCTAATGACAGCGTTCAAAAATATATCCCCAGTGTAATAACATACTCCCCTGAATCCCTAGCCAAAATTCCGGCCATTAAACTTCCAGATTATTTCGATTTACAACCTAAATCAAGGCGATCTAAGAAAGAAAGGTCAAGCAGAGAAAAGATACTTCCTCCAGAGTTAGAAGATAATTCGATGAGCTCTAATGCTTATTACAGGCAACAATTAGCCAACTCAAATCTGGTTTTCTCCCCGCGCAAACTCGGATTTCTTCCTGCCAACTATTGGATTGCTGAAGAGAATACCTTTGGATCTTTAGTAACTCAATTTTTCCAAAAAAAGAATAACTCGAATTGCAGATTCCCACATAAGCTATACAACGGCCTGGTGTTGGTTGAAGCTAATCCAGAAATGTATCCTCTTGTTGGCTTGAAATGGATTACAGATACGGTTTTCAAGGTAGATAAGTACATTTTTGGAAGATTACTCGGGATCACTTCCATAAACGGTGGCCTTGTTCACAGCCAGGGTAACTTCCCATCACATGGATTTAAAGAACTCAACAATGAAGAAGTCATGGCACTTAAAATGAAGTATTCGCTTAAAGATGTCGATATGGATAGAGTTTTACTTATGAAACAATCAAGCGGTATGTTTTCAAAGAATTGCAAAGAAGAAACTCTTGCTCAGTGTAAGTGGACTGACTGATTTAGAATCTTCTGAGGTAGTCACAAAATCTAAGTAGTGAGGCTCTCAAAAATTGAACCGTACTCCATACAAAATTTGTGTACCCTCACTACTTAGATTTTGTGGCCTTCAATTGAGAGGTTAGTTTTGATAGAGCACGTTATAAAATTAAAAGGGAAAAATAAATAAAATTTAAACATTTAATTATATATAATGTAAGGAGTGTAATTCCAAATTTTCTAAAAACTATTCAAATTTGAGCATTTTTTTGGAAATAGTAAATCTAATATGTACATCTAATAACAACATGATTCATCACCTTTTCAAGCTCTGCAGTCAATTTTTTGAAATTTGATTGAAATAAATGTAGCAAAAATTACATTTCATTAGGGAATATATGAGTTTCTCTGGAAACAGGCTGATAAATTTTAAATTTTGTCCAATCAACATGAATGCATTGAGAAATTTGGATTGATTTTCTGGTAGAATCTGGAACAATTCAACCATGTATAAATGGATCATGTAATCATCATGAAATGTTAGTGTTAGAGTTCAAAAGAAACAGAATGAGTGGAAATCAAACACAATCTGAATAATTTTAAACGTATACAATCTTTAAATTTGTATTTTGAATTCTACATATATGATTGTGTAATTCGTTCTTTCAAATTTTCGGATTCAGGCATGTTTTGATAAAATTCATTCCCAAAAACGTCAATTAACAATTAAATTTAGTGTATTTTAAATATATATACGTATTATATTTTATAAATTATATTAAATTCGCAAAATTTTAAGTTTTAAACAAAAATAAAAAATCTTCAAAATATGAAATTATGCATAGGATATTAAAATTTACATGTTAGCAATTTTTTTGAATTGCTTTCAATTTTCATATTGAAATTTTTAAGATTTTTTTTCTGAAATAATAAGCAAGAATATCAACCTAAATAATATTAAATTCCATGCGTTAATTTCCCCTCAAAAGTCATTGACCGCCTCTCAATCTAGATTTTGTGAGTACTTTATGTTATTTATCTTGTTTATCATTGTAATTTCGATATTAAATGTTGCTTTTCATATTTGTACTACTGTCTTTAAGTTCTGCCATAAGAAAAATAAAATTAAAATTAAATTCCATGTTTTTTACAAATTGTTTGTTGATGGGTAATTAAGGCATGATGTGAAAAGCTGTAATTAAAACTATCAAACCAAAAAAATTACGGTCAAATACAATAATTATTCAATAAAGTTTAATTATCATTATTTAGAGATTGAATCACATTAGGATCTATTGGTGGTACTGGTTCTAACTTAACCTCCTCTTGTTTTTTAACATTTCTCTTACGTTTTGACATTTCTTCGTAAGAATCTGCGAATTTACTCTTGCTTCTCAAATAAGATACATCATCAGGTTCATCTTCTAAATCATCCCATGTCTTTGAAACAGGTTCTTCTACATACCTTGGTTTTGGTTCAAGATATGTTGTTGTAGCAGGTTCATTATTGGTATTAAATGTCATAGTAGTTGTTTCAGGAGACGTGATAAGTCCTGCTTCTCTTAACTGTTTGCGAGCATTTTTATGGGCAATAGAATCATCCTTATCAGCAATTGTATCAATAACTGTTGTTGTAATATCTGTTACTTCGCGAGCCTTAAAATGAGAGTTTTGGATTCTATCTTGTGAAAGCTGTGGTATTGGTTTTTGCTTATGTGCTTTCTTTACACCTCTTGGATCATAAGAAGTTGTTTCTGTCTTTGTCTTTGGTGATAACTGTGTGAAGGTATTCATTGTTTCCTGTTCTTGGCCGACAGTGTACTCAGCACCGGCCGCGGTAGTTAATATTCCTGTAAATTGTGAGAAGTTTTGAGAATCAACAAACTGTGCATCTGATGGCATATCTGTATTTGTTGGAGATGTCTTTCTTCTTGAAGAGCCTGTCTCTAATGTCTGAGATTGAAAATCAGGATCATATAAGTCCAACAACTGTTGAATTGGACTTTTTGATTCATCTAATCTAAGACGACGAAGAATCCAGTTTGGTTCATGTCTTGTTCTAAGATATCCACCAGTTTCCTTTTCGCAAGCTGTTGCTGCATTTGCCATATAGTTTTTAGCAAGGTAATCACATACATATTGAGCTGCTACTCTGTATGCTGCAGAGTCATTAGGCTTTCTGAATTCTTTTTCTGCAAATGGAAGTGAATCTGAAATCTGACGTGAAATTGTCTTAAGATAGATTCCATGGATGATTTCCAACTTTTCTTTTTCAGCTGATGTATTCATTTCTGTAGAAGGAGTGCGTGATATTGAGGAATAATTTTGAAAGATGTAAGGACGATAGAAATTAACAGATGTAAGAAGTTCGAGATCTCAAATTTTGTAAATTGTAGACTCTGTCAAAGTTAGAATAAATAATAGTGATTATCATATGAGTAATTATTCAATGTATTTGTTTATTATTTGTGCCGTATTCAATTTAAAACATTCTCTATTTTGAGAGAAATTCGGAATATATAATAATTGGACCAAAATATCATATTTTGCCAAATCACCATTATTTCCAGAAACAAAACACAGTCTTCTGTATAGATAATCAAATGGAATCAATAATTATTATGGTTTAAATTAAAAACAATAAAAATTGGTCCTTTTATTATATTTCCATAATATTGTTGATAAACAAATTAAGTATATCAGTTTTATTGATAAAAACATGTATTTTAATTTTGACCTGAATTTTGTAAATTTTTTTCATCGGAGCAAGATAATGAGATAATATTTAAACGTAGTTGAAGTTGAATATGGAATGATAGGAGATATAGCCCGATAAACTTTTGTATCTCCAAATGCTAAATTTTTTAATTAACTAAGTGCAGTTCACCTAGGTAAATCTAAATTTCCTATTTTTATAAATACCAATCTTATTTTTCTCTGAAAAATAAAGGGTAGTTATTGAAAAGTTGTAAATAAAATAATTAATATTCATCTTAATGTTCTGTAAAAGATTAGTGGAAAATTCGCATTACGATATCTTTGAGAAGTTAAAAATCAGATCAAATGATTTATTTAAAAACGATGTATTTAACCACTTTCTAGTCATTCAGTTTTTGGATGGCAGTTCAGTGGCAGATCAAATTATTCTCAAATTGAGAAGTCTGTTAACTACATCTCACAATTTTGAATCACGATTCAAAATTTTTATAACAATTCATTTAATTTATCAGATGCTAAAGGATGCAGGATTCGAAAAGAGATTGACCAAAATAAGCAAAACTAAGTGGACTCCAGAAGAAGATACTCTTCTTCGATCAGCGGTTGAAAAGTATGGAACAAGCAATTGGACATTGATTGGAAACTTTGTGCCCGGAAGAACTGGAAAGCAATGCCGTGAAAGATGGACTGGCCAAATCTGTCCAACTATTAACAAAGAGTCATGGACACCTCAAGAGGATTATTTGCTATTCCAATATCAAAATTTATATGGAAATAAATGGGCATTAATTGCACAATACCTTCCAAATCGTACTCCAATTGGGATCAAGAATAGATGGAATTGGTTTTGCAGAAATAAGGAAAAATACTATGTCCCAAAGGAGAAAAAGCCTACTATCAAATTTGAATCCATAGTTCTGGCAAATGATACACTCTTTGGTGAAGAATTTGAAGAATTCAAAAGAAAATTACATTCTGACATGCTATATAATTCAATATCTTATAATGACCTTTGAGGCTCGTATTAACTAGTGTTTGTAAACATGAATCTTTTAATCTTAAAATGCTTTTTAATCAAAATTTGGTAAAAATCTTTTCAAGTCATAAGTTTAAGCATAAAAAGTTTCGAATGGCGCTTAAAATTATGAGGTGTTTCTGAGAAATCAAATCAGTTAGATCCAAATTGTGTAATTACCAGCAAAATTCATTGAAAATATTAAAATTAGCAACAACTTGTATATTACAGGCATTTATTAGATGAAAGCTTGTCAAAGGTGGTTGAGAGCCAAGTCGAATAAAATGCAGGTTAAAATTATTTTCAAAATAAAATATCTTGACTGAAAAATGTATTCAGTAAAGCAGCAGTAAGTGTAGCATAAGATTGTTTAAATTGAAAGAAAATTACCATATATATAGAGAACAACATTTTGAATTAAATGTAATTAAGTGCTTGTTGTGATTGAGGATGTTCCAATTCGTTGAGTTTAAGATGGTCAATGAAATGGTGACCAAGATTCATTAAGGCAGGAAATTGCAAATTATTTGTAAAGAGTACTTCAAAGAAAATAAAAAATACCTCTTTGTTTATTTAAAGTGCCTAGTTGACATCTCGATTCATCATTCCATGGATTGAGATGTTATCTGAAACAAGTGAAAAAGTGGCCTTGAATAACATTTTTATCAAAAAGAGTTCAGATTCTGGAATTATTTAAGATTTTTCATTTATTTAAAACGATGAAGATGAATTTTTCATTCAAAAAAATTGAAAGAGATCAGAATTTATTTTGCAAGCAATCTGCGCGCCTTTCTGATTTATTTCTAGCCTGCGCATGGAAGGGCATCTCAAGGTGCAAAGGATCACGATATGTGAGGCGTTTAGTTCAAAATGAAAAGCCAGCCATTTCGTGAAACGATAAAAAACCGAAAAATCGCTTGAATTTTTTGTTAGGGTGGATAAAAGACTTTCCAAGATGTCATACCACACTAGTGACGAAGATGTTAAGCGCATGTTCGAAATGGCAACTGTCAATCAGAAGAATTGCTATGTTCCATATAGCCATTACCCAGTTTCTGCTGCTTTGCTCTGCAAGGATGGTACAATTGTACTCGGCGTAAACGTTGAGAACTGTTCCTATCCAAACGGATGCTGCGCAGAAAGATCTGCAATCTTCGGTGCTGTTTCTAATGGCCATAGAGACTTCGTTTCTATCTTGATCACTTCCAAGATGGGTGATGATTTCATCCTTCCTTGCGGAATGTGTCGTCAGGTCATTGCTGAATGGGGTAATTTAGAAGTTATCTCGACAAAGGGCAACGGTGAGATCAAGCGTTACCACATTTCCGACCTTCTTCCTGAGGCATTCACACCTGCTGATCTTACTAAGTAAAATAATGAGATAATCGGAAAATTAAAAAATTAAGTATTTTCACTTAAATTTGTTGTTTTTACTCAAAGTGGTGTATATAGAATATGTATTCCTAGGCCCAAGTAGAGGAGAGAAGTATTTCTCTAAAGGTACCTATGCCCATTCTGCATCAGCAAAATGGGACGATAAAAACAGTTTAAGGGTGCACCCGTATGTACGTTTATTTGAGAGGAGGAGGATTACCCTCTCAATTTTGAGGGATTCGTTAGTTTATTTTCTCGATGAATATGCAATAAAATTTGATTTTTACCTTATCAATATACTTCATATAATATACACATGTTCATGTAAAAACTTTTTTCCAAAATCCTCAGGAATTAAGGGATTTTTGAATTTTAAGAATTTTTTTTGAATTTTGTCGAAAAAAAATATTTTCAGAACAGCCTTAACGGCTAAGATTTAGGAACAATGTTAAGTATCAAAAAGAAAGGAGGTCTGATATAGACAACATATATCGTTGAAGGTTGAAAAAATCTCTAATATTTGAGCCCAAAATTTCAAATTTTAATTTTTTGAAAAAAGAGGCCACCCGTATGTACGTTTATTTGCGAGGAGGAGGATTATATTTTTGAAAGGGTGAAACATTATGAATATGTTAATTATATAATAATATGTATTATTATAAAAAAGAAAAAATAAAGCACGTTAAATTTTTTCTTTCTTGATTTTTTACAAAATCTACTTAGAATTATGCAAAATATGACTAAATAATTATAAATTTCAAGTTAAATTTTAATTTTGATAAATAATTTAAATTTCAAAATACCAAGTTCAGTTCGACTATGTATGTAGTAATTCCTCAATAAAGTGCCAAAACCCTATTAAAATATATGAACATTTTCAACATTTTAATGTTTTTATTTAAAAATTTGATGGAATATGAGCTTCAAACAATTATTATGTAAATAAAAATAATTAAATATATGTATTTATTCGTATTACAACCGTAGTAAGTCGATTCTTCCTTTCTTCTACTGAGTTTTGAATTTGATTTCGAATTGGAAAGAGATTCAAAGGGAAAATACTAGCGGATAAAAACTACCTCCATGAAAGGGTCATAATGGAGTCAAGTTGTATTTTTTGATATTTTTTTGCTTTTCGAGCCTAAATAGGTAGCCAAGATAATGCCTAAAAATAAGGTTCTAAATTCTGAAGTTTACATGATCCTCTCGTGTGCACCCTTAACGGCCACAAGTTGTGTCGGAAAAATGTAAAAGTTACCTCACTTTTTGGTTTGAACAAAAAAATAATCATTCTGAAACAATGGTAGAACAGCTTTAGAAATTTAGGGCATAGCTTTTACCAAAAAATTTATCCGTCGAAAAAATTTCGGCAATTCAAATGTGGTTGGATCAAATATGCATACATAAATTTTCAATGTTTAGTGGATTTTATTTTGGGTATTTCTCAAATATTCAATAATATGTTGAAAAGATTGAGAAATATCTGACATGGGTTTAACAGATAAAAAATCTTTTAGAATTAAGATCATGTATTGAAACAATTGCAAAATACTTACGAGTGATTTTACTTATAGTTCAAGGAAAATCTGTGTAAAATTAAAAGTATTGATAGTATGTATGTTTTGTGATTTTTTGATTCTATCCTTTCAAAGCATTGAATAGATATTGAAAAAAATAAAGAAAAAAATTAATTCAAATGGAAAGGAAGAAGTTAGTTCGATTTACAGTAGATGACGATGAAATCATTACTAAATATTTTCAGATGTATAAGAATAATAAACATGAAGCGTTAGAGATATTATGGGGTCATTATTGATTTTGTAATTTAATCGTCGTCGTTATCGATTTTGTAATTTAATCGTTATCGTCTTTTTCTAAACGTGCATTTTTTGCTTTCGGAGCTATTGAACATACATTGGCCCTTACCAGCAATTGAAAACTATTTTTCATTATCAACAATTACATTACTCCGAGTTATTCATCAATCAATGAAAATCGATATATAGTCCATACTTCAATTTACAATATTGGCAAGTCCAATTTCACTTGGCATATTTAACTCATATAGAAAAACCAGTTGGAATCGGCAAAATTATCTTTAATTCCATACATAAGAAAAAAAAATTATAAAGTTCTTCAATAATAGCAAACTAATAGTTTAAATAGATTTACAAGTATCGCCCATCTACTTTTGATATAATTCACATATTAAATGTAGAAAACTGGTTTAAAATAAATATTTCAAAAGTTCGAAAACGATTTATGAAAAAATAACGTGATGACATTTACTAAATTTGCTCTGTATTAAAGTATCGATGATAGAAAGAGCATATTTTGTAAATATTTCAAAAATATTTAAAAATCGGAGAAATTGTATTGTAATGTACTATAATTATGTTACAAATCCGATTCAATACTAATCCTTCGCTATTGAAGTTGTTTTGAGAAGGATATTCTCTAAATTCTTGATAAATCTTTAAAATCTAGAGTAATCGTTTTGTAAACTTAACAAAACTAAAATGTATACCAATAGATTGGCATTTTCTACGTTTTCAAAGTGAGAGAGTGTAAATTCTTTTTTTTTATCCTATTAAGGGTATAGTCCACTAAAAATTTTTAAGTTTTGACAATGAAAATAAGCTCTGTGACCATGTAAATATATATCTATGCAAAACGAGAGGTTATGCCATAATTTTTTTTAGTTATCAAATTTTCCTTTTTTTGAGAGAAGTCTCTCAATAATTTGAGAAGAATCTTTGATATAAAGAGATACACATTTGTAGAACGAAGTAAGTGTTTTCCAAACATGTTCTTAAAAATAAATAAAATAATACAAATCTTTATTCAATCTTTTGATATTGTTGGTCCTCTCTTTGTGAAAATACTTAACTTCAAAGAGTATTATGTTTTACCTAGTGAGGACCTTAAGTTTGCAAAAACATAATAAAAGTAAAATAAAAAAGATCGGATTTATCACAAAACTTTGAGTATTATAGGATTTAATATATTTTCTTAGTAGATTATATGATTTAGTTTCTTAAAATCTAAAGTATTTCTTGAGGAAAATATAAATTGAAATTCAAAAAGTAAAAAAAATGTAAACAAATCAAATTTTAAATGGACCAAATGTTGATTTTTCATTCGTTTTCTCATTATCGAAAAAAATTTGGAAAGCTAAGAAGTCAATAACAAGTTATATAATACAACAAAACCCACATCGGATATGTTTTCATCAAATAGTCTCCTAGATTTGTTATGAAATTAAAATATCATGATATTTTAAGGGCTTTTGATTTCAATATTAGAATTATTCAGTTATGTCGTGCTAATATCAATTGCTTTATACAATTAATCGTTTACAAGCTGCAAAAATCGAACAATAATTTGACTTTGTAAAAAAAGTGCGTCATTTTTATTCGTTATACTTACAAAATGTAAACATTACGAGAAACATTTACATTTGTAAATGTAACAAGTAAAGTTGTCTCGCATAATTTGACTTTGTAAAAAAAGTGCGTCATTTTTATTCGTTATACTTACAAAATGTAAATATTACGAGAAACATTTACATTTGTAAATGTAACAAGTAAATACATCAGATTTAAATTGTAAATGTAGTTTATCTCTCTCATCTCCTTTTTAAAAGGTATTACATACATACGAACGCATGGGTCACTCAATAATTAGCGTGATAATAATTGAGGATAGACTGTAATCGTAATTTTATTTTTGGACTTATATTTCGACATTTTGAAGTCGCTTGAAAGTCTTGCAAATGATTAAATTTGGAAAATTTGACCTAAGTCTGCATTATTTTGATGACTTAAACAATTCTATAAATCTGTTTTCCTAAAAATTTAAAAAGATATAATTTCAATTTCCCTAAATTTATGTAATTCATATATCACCAAAATATTTGGACTGCATTTCGTTTGTCTGCACCTAATTAAAGTCTAAATACCAATTAATTTTGGAGTTGCATTGCTTTTAATGTAAAAATGCACGTTTAGAAAAAGACGATAACGATTAAATTACAAAATCGATAACGACGACGATTAAATTACAAAATCGATAACCTCTCGATATTATGTGCAAAGCTCGGTTACAATCACACCAAAAAAGCTATTGAAGAGAGATATAGGAGTTTTTTAAGTAAAAATACTAGCCCCTTTACAAAAGAAGAGGATGATGTAATAATCCAATCTCACATGCGCTTAAATAATAAATGGTCGAAAATTGCACAAATACTAAACACAAATAGATCTGGTGATCAGGTGAAAATTCGATTTGCTCAATTAAACCGTTCAGGATTAAGAAGAAAAGCTAAGAATAAGCAAAATAAAAAAGATGAAACAAAACCTGAGAAATCAATGAATAAATCAGATACATCTGTTCGAAGGTTTAATCAAACTTTAGAGTTAGACCAGTCAATATATGATATATCAAGATTGTTGAATCATTAGAATTCCCAAATAATTCAGATTGATTCTTATTAGCTTAGTACTTTGGTAGTTCTTGATTTCAAAGTATTAGGCTTTCAATATTGTCAAATCTATGCGGAAATAAAGATTTTTGTAAAAAAATTACTCATGATATTTGAGCATATCCTCCTGTAATGCATAAGAGAAGTTGAAAGTATATATAATTTTTCCGATTGAGAATATTTTCTTAATTAAATTTCGGCTTTATAGAATATTTCTGATACAAATTCAAAAAATCAGAGATAAATTTATTTTTGATATTAATTCTGAAAATTAATTTCAACCATCGAGCATTAATTTATGTTGCTAAAGTGTGTTCAAATATTTAATCATATTGATTCAAGAGATATAAAAATGTAAGAAAAATGTCAAAAATAACAATTATATCTGGCTTCAAAACATTTAGAAAAATTCAAAATTATATATAACAACCGACTCAAATTCGAAATCATGTTCTCGGTAAGGAAACATTCATAATTGTCTTTCATTAGAAATATGCCACATTATGAAAGAATTTCGGACTGCCTTGAAGGATGAAATTTCATATTCGTTTCAGTTTTAACAGCAATTGTTTTTTGCCATCAAAAATAATAGATCTCTTGATACATATTTCAGCTTTCTGCTTTCTGATAGCAAACAAAAAAAAATATGAAATGCCTTTTTCAGAAAACTATGACAATATTGAAATGAAATTATATGTATTACGGAAGGAATTAATTCAGTTGGCAAACAATCTCTAGATTCTAAAATTCCTTATAAAATAAAAATTACCGAAATTAAAGAAAAATATGATTTGATCTTGAGTTAGAACATTAAATGATATAGGGTATAGAAATTTATTGATGAAATGTTCTTGGAATGCAATATTCGTATAAAAATCTGAGCATTTTCGAATAAAAAAATTCTGGAAGAAATATTCTTGGTATATAGATAGTGTACAAGCTCAGATATATTTTACAAAGACTGAAATACTTAATTAAGAATGTCAAATAGGATAAAAAATATACAACAGTGTAAATTGGGATTATTCAGTATTTAAAGACTGAACTATAGAATAATTAAGCTAGATAATAAATTCTCTGATGAGGAATTTAGTGAAATGTGTTTGAATCAAAATAAAAATATTGATTATTGTCTAAATAAAAAAATGGTAGCGAAATATGGCTTTAATAAGCAATGTTCTGAATATGTTACAGAAGAGGCAGAGAGAATTAAGGGCCAGATATCATGATTTTGATACTTGTCATCAGAATGAAAAAATTTTACAAAAAATATTTGAAACAGAAAATCGTAAATAAGAATGAAATACAATAAGAATATGCAATGAAAATTGCGGCACGAAATAAGAAAAATAACTCCGATAACTAAAATTTTTCAATGGATACATATAAGATCAGCAACAAAGATAATCGAAATTACAAATACGAATACATCAAAGACTTTAAGTGCAGGGTGTATAAAGTCGAAGGAGATAGAAAAAACAACTTTCGAATGCCAACAGATGCAAAAACTTTTGGTGTAACTGCAAGATATTTAGTAATTCAACTGCGAGTCATTCAGTCTGAAAATTGCACAATCACAATTCAACTCGGAGATGATGCAGGCAACCATTTTAATTTTGCTTTTTCAACATTATCATGTAAACGTCCTTCTTCTTCACAAATGTGCGCATTAATCAATCTCCCTCTTGTTAAGGATAAATGGTTAAATATATGCTTTGACTTACAACAGATAGCCGCAGATTTTTGGCCTTCAGGCAATTTTCAAACGCTAGATAGCCTCGAAATTTCGCCAGTATGTTTTATTCGCGATATATACGCTACAAATAATCCACTTACACCTGACGGAAATGGTTTAGATTTACCAAAATTATATTCTCTACCTTCAGGCATTGCTTCTATGAATGTTTTAGTTCCAGATCCATCAGCGAAAGAGGCCAACCAGCCAGTTAAATCCAAAATCCCTCAGCGCATTACTCCGACATCAGAATCTCGTCCTACGAGATCTCCAAAGATAGGAAGTACTAGAACGTCAACACGAAGGACTCCTCCATCAACTTCGTCATCAGACCAGAGTTTATCCATAAATGGAATTGGATCTCAACGAACATCACAGAAGAAAGTTATTCCAAGCCTGGCAAATCATAGTAAGAAGCCACAGTCTCCGCCAAAGATTCCTCCGAAGGAAGAAACTCCTCCTCCTCAGAAAGAAGACGAAGAAGAGGATTATAGTGATGATAATGCCTTTGGAAGCGTCTCTCCTAGTGATCGCTCCAAATTAGATATTAAATCAGAACTTCCTCTTGGAGAAGAAGAAGAACTCGAGTTAGTATTTATTGAATCATTAGATTGTTATTATTGTCCAACAAATCAGCAATACTATCAGCTGGATGCTCATTAATTCTTGTTTATTGATATCAACATAAAGTTTTTATGTTTTTTTATTTCAAATTGACTTTCTTCACCATCATAAATATATTTATGATTCATAACTAAATGATTGTAATAGATAATTAGTATTTCTCATGATTATGTAGCATTCTTTGGATCAACTGTGTTTCACATCAAAGAAATGCTTTGAGAAATAACTTTAAAATATACGACCAATTGAATTCCCGTTTGAAACGTATTCAATTGGTCGTATATCAATAGATGAATTCTCAAGATCTCTAGATCACGCGATCACAATTCAATCCTGTTTCATCTATTTGTTATTAATGATTTGCTGGTTTTTTTAACTTCATTCAGATAATCATAAAATAAAAAAAACTAGAGATAAACCTTAAAAGTGGTAAATACATATGTTATTTAGATGAAATATAAAATAACAGTTTAGTAAAAATCGGTCTTGAGGCATAATAAACAGAATATTTCCCATATTTCTAATAAAAATGGAGCCATTACACCAAAGAAAACGCCACAGATAATATAATCTGAGCTAGCAGGTTGAAGCATGGTGTTTGAAATTAAGACGGTGCCAATGAAATGAAGGCATCCTTCAATAAAGCTTAAAGGAGCAGACGTAGTAGAAAAGCCTAGGATAATAAATATGAATACAAGAGCTAATAGAACATCTGAGACGATTAACCATATTTTTATTTGTTTCTGTACATGTTTGATTTGTTTTCCTGACGAGAAAATACCACGAATGCTATTTTTAAATGAATCTGGCATATATGGATTTGCAACTGAGTTATTAATACGATTTGCGTAATAATTTTTGATTGGATTTGCCTGTTGACTTTCGTTTTTATCTATTACGAACAAAACAACGTTCATTACTATATATAGAGAACAGAATGCAAATACTCTAAATGGGAAAATTACTTTTGCTGTGGAAATCATATGTTATTTATTGAGTTCGTTTATATTGTTGTCACTTTTTAAGTTTTTACTTGAGCATTTCTTCTAAGCTAAAATAACAGTTCCTTCTTGAAATTCTGCATCCTATGATTTTAAATTGACAAAATATCACTGAAGTATTAGGGATTTCAAGATTAAGAAAGATATTCAAGAGTTGCAAACCTAGTCAATGGATTTTAGTCACTACATTTGAGTAATGGTGTGGATATCAAAGGAATTTTTTTATACTAAAAAATATTGAAAATGAAAAATCAATTATATTGTATTTCTGAAGGTAAAAATCTAGATATTTTCGAAAATCCATTTATTTTAATTGATGACGAATGCAACTTAGCTAAAATTGACTTCCCAAAGATCTGTCACTTTTCTACTAAAATGTCCTTGGAAATAGATATTGGAGAAATAGATCTCCCTGTTAGGATTAATCTGAAGTTTGATGGTAAAAATGCAGTCCCTGTTGATCCAAAGAGAATGGCTTCAATGTCCAAACTATTTAAAATTAATTTTGCCACGCTTAAAGGCGATACACTAGATTTATCTTCAAAAATAGAAGTCAAAACATATGTTAACGAGTTGCTTGCTTTAATTCACAATTTAAATCCAAAATTAAATCTCAATATATTGTTAGAACTATTATTAATAGTTGTTGAATGGGGTTGCCCAACAATTGAAGAAAAACTATACAACGCTTTATCCAAAAATGCTACTGAAGATCAAATTTTCCAATTAATCCTCCAAAATTTCAAAAAATATAAAGCAGACAAATGCAAAGATTTGTTCAGAAATTACTACAGATACCTTGCAGAGAATTTTATTAGCTTCTCTCAAAAAAATTATTTACTTCATTTAGAAAATGAACAAATTATATCTATTATAAACAACCCAGACTTCTCTCGCCCAAGTCGTGATGTTTACGATAAAATTTTGCTTACAATTATCATGTCAGATGAAAAATACAGATATTTAATTAATAAAATCGATCTGAATACAACAGATATGAATATTTTAGAGAGGTTAAATGCATTATTATTGAAAGATGACTCCACCAACCAATATAGCGAAATAAGCAAGATATATAAGAACAGAAAGGAAATGCAAGCCAAAAAGAAAGACGATTTGTATGCTGTCTTCTCCAAGCTGCAAAAAATAAATAGTGAGAAGTCAGAACATTCAAAAGAACGCTTTGATAAAATTAATGAACAGATAGAGCTTTTGAAACAAAAGAATGCTGATATTCAGAAGAAGATTGATGGAAAATAATGTTATTTTTATTTTTTGTATAAAGTTAAAAAGATTATAAAGATATTTATTTATAATTCTTCTTTTTTGTTATATCTGGACTAATCAATAGCCAATATCTTAAACATATGATTTGTCCTTTATTCGAATCAATAAAGAAATTTGTAAATTCAAATTATCAGATTACCTCATTGCGCTTATTTGATAATATTTTAAAAGCAACGATATATGATGTCCTTAGACTTAAAATGGTGGTAATAGTTAGAAAAATATGAGTAATTAGAAAAAGAATTACATATTTTTTAATTAGATTAACTTTTTTATAACAGAAATAGAAATTATTAAAACAAACAGGCCTCGGATAAATTATGGAAATTCAAGATCTCGAACTGGATCGAAATATCGATGTGCCATTGCTTCCTTTGCTGTAATTCTCTCTGTGTGGTCGTATACTATGCATTTGTCTAAAAGATCAATGGCGTCTTCATTTGCTAAAGATGCATTTTCACCGTTTACAAATGACCACCATGGTTTCCTTTTAGATTTGTATACATGGATGTTTGGTGGAAGTGGTATTCCATACTTATCAAGGTATTCAGATAGACCATCAGTGCCTAAAACACTGGAAATTTTGCTGATCATGTCAAAATCATCGGAGCCTCTGAAAAATGGATAAATCTTAAAGACAAGGCTTGCCATTGTAACACCAAAGCACCACATGTCTACGGAATAATCGTATTTTTGGTAGTCTAATAATAATTCTGGAGGTTTATAGTAACGTGTTGCTACATGAATCTGGTAGTTCTGTCCTGGATGGTAAAAGTCTGCAAGTCCCCAATCTATGAGACGCAATTTGTAAGTCTTTTTGTCAAATAATATATTTAAAGGTTTCACATCGCGATGCATAATTCCATGTGAGTGAGCATAATCTAATGTCCTAAGTAATTGGTAAAGGTAGACTCTTGCTTCATAATCTGTCATACTAGCAAATAAATCTTGCCATTTAAGCTCTGGGATGTATTCGAAAACAAAACTGTATTGATTTGTTAAGGGTGTATAAACGACATCGTAAAGATTTACAATGTTAGGGCCACCTCTAAGATCAATTAAGATTTTTGCTTCACGGAGAAATTTTACATCTCGAGTAGGTTTTAATATTTTAATTGCTACTATTTCTTTTCCTTTGTATGCTGTGAAAACATCACTATATTTACCAGATCCTATCCTATCTAATATTTCATATAGATCAGGAGATCCATGAGGCAATTTGAAAGTCTCAACTTCATACCATTCTTTTCCAAGCTTTTCACATGCATCTGCATACACTTTAGATACAGTATTTACATTGTATGTTGGATCAGTGCGCATCACTGCGCCACGAGAACTCATTTTTGAATTTCAGTTTGATAATTACAATTAGAAATGATTTGTAATATTAAAATCATTATTTATTTCGAAAGTGAGTTGAATAACGATTTTCAAAAGTGACAAGATTACAGATTTTCAAACAAAAAAACAACCTCAAGAGAACTGCTCCGGAGTCTAAAATTAACTAAACTCCTTCATTTTTAAAATGTTTTAAGTGCTCGAGTTGAAATTTAGAGAATATAATTTTTTATTCAAAATTAATAATAAAATTCTATATTTAACATGGCTATTAAAAGGTCTATTTCAAGTCATGGACGTGTTCCTTCTGGAAATTAGCAATCATCTTGTATGATTCCTTCAATGATTCGGAAACTTTGATGTAAATTGGTGTTAATTCCTTATAGATCTTAACATTTTCTTCCTTTGGAAGGAGAGAATGTGTTGTTCCTACCCATTTCTCAACAATGGAGAAATCTTTAATTTCTCCTAAAGCGTACATTCCGAGAACAATAGCTCCAAGGCAAGAACTTTCGATACTATCAGGAACTGTAACAGGTTGGTTGAAAATGTCAGACATCATTTGACACCAAAGTTGAGATTTAGCGAAACCTCCTGTAGCTTGGATTCTTTCAGGAGTTCCGATGACTTCTGTAAGTGCGATGAATACTGAGTAAAGATTGAAGATAACGCCTTCAAGAACAGCACGAATCATGTGTTCTTGTTTTGTATGCAAACCTAAACCGAAGAAAGAGCCTCTTGCGTTGGCATCCCAAAGAGGAGCACGTTCACCGGCCAAGTATGGATGGAACAACAAACCTCCAGAGCCTGGTTCGACTCTTTCTGCAATCATTGTCAAAACTTGGTATGAATCGATGCCTAATCTCTTAGCTGTTTCGACTTCACTTGCTGCAAGCTCATCTCTGACCCATCTGAGTGTCATACCACCGTTGTTAACAGGTCCTCCAACGACCCATTTATCTTCTGTTAAAACGTAACAGAAAATACGTCCTTTAGGATCGGTAACAGGATGGTCAACAACTGTTCTGATTGCTCCAGATGTTCCAATTGTAATTGCAACAACGCCTGGCTTGATTGCGTTGACACCAAGGTTTGACAAAACGCCATCGTTAGCGCCAATAACGAAAGCTGTATCTTCTTTAAGTCCAAGTTCACGTGCAATTGGTGCTTTGAGATTTCTGAGAACGTGTGTTGTTGGAACTAATTTTGAAAGGTTTTCTGGAGTAATTCCAGCAACAGAAAGAGCTTCTTCATCCCAATCGCGCTTCTCAAGATTGAAAAGGCCCATGGCAGAAGCAATAGAGTGGTCGACAACATATTCTCCGAAAAATCTGAAGAAGATATACTCCTTAATGCCGATAAACTTGAATGTGTTGTCGAAAATTTCAGGATGATCATGTCTAAGCCATGTAATTTTGGCAAATGGAGACATTGGATGAATAGGAGTTCCTGTTCTCCTGTAGATTTCGTGTCCATTGAAGTCGGAAAGGATCTTTTCAGCCCATGCAGTGGCTCTGCAATCAGCCCATGTGATAGATTTTGTGAGTGGTTGGCCAATTCTATCAACAGCGATAATTGCATGCATTGCAGTACTGAATGATACTAAATGGAGATTGTCTGGATTGATTTTGCTTGTTCTCATGACATTTGCAATGGCCTTCTTGCAGGCATTATAAATTTCATCGGGATCTTGCTCTGCAACTTCAGGACGAGGGCTATAAAGCGGATAATTCTGGTGATTCATAGCAACAATCGAGCCATTTTCGGCAAAAAGTACTGCTTTTGTACTTGTGGTTCCGATATCAACGCCAAGATAGTAGCTCATATCACGATATTGAAAATTTTATATTTTTTCAATTTTGATAAGACTTTACAATAATGGGTACGATTGAAGATTGAAAGAAATATTCGTCAGACCTATCAGCATTAAATACTGTGAGGATTGATTGTACGCATAATTCCAGAATGGTTCTTAAAATTTGTCACTTTTCTACTGGTGTGGATAATATTCTTTGGGTTTCAATTAGGAACCTCAATCTAATTATAGGGCCATTGATTTGTTAATATGTCATATTTTGAAAATCCGCTTGGCTTGAATGCAGAAGATCAATTGATGGGAATTTCATTCATTATGTATGATAAATGTTTCTTGATATCGGCAAAGCATTGTATATGAGATCATTTTAGAATAATTCAATACTTTGAACATGGTTGAATAAACAAGCTCGATCAAAGAGTTCATCTTTAAAACACGAGAATTGCTAATTGATGCAAAATTTGTTTTGTGAATAGTACAATCAGAATGCATGAAAAGATAAGAAAAAATAAAGCATTTTTTCGGATAAAAAGCTTGAACTTCTCATACTTAATATAGAAAACTGGAGAAGTTACATTGCATATAGGTCATTTATTATCACGACGACATAAAAATCATCTCGAAACATGTCTAAGTTTCCAAAACTCTTTTGGTTTTGATTCAATAGATTAAAAATTGATAAAAATATGAAAGATGAGATTTTTAAGATCGGATGAAGAGAGTTGAATTTTTTGGAGGCTTATGGATTATTCTTTTCCAATAATAATTAGGAAAAATAATAAAATGATCAATAGGAATTCAATTGTGAGTATCCTTGAGTCGAATTGCATGTAATAAAAATCACAATTCAATTTCTAACGAGATTTAGAGGGAATTTTATTTAAAAAATGGTATAGCACATGATTCTCTTTCATACGGATCAACATGAAATATTAAAATTAATGTGAAAAACCAATTTCGTGAGAGAAATTAAATGGTTGTAACGTACAAATTTTTCAATAAATGTGAATTCGAAATAAAAATCATATTTTTCTATAGTACAGTAATAATTTGTTATTAAATGATTCAATTTTTTTCAAAGAAGAACCGTAAAATTCTCAAAAAACACTAAGTTTCAATAAAGTATTGAAAAACTCTTTTTATTCTTTACTATGCAATCAGGATTTCGTGATCAAATGCTTCCCCTTCTTCCGCAGCTTAAAGGTGAGACGCCTAGAAGCAATCTTGCAAGGAACGTCTCCCTTTTTGCTGCTGATTGGTATCAGTCTTTTGTTCGCTGGTTGGATGATGAATCGTCACCCCTTCCAGGCGAAATCAAAAACAGTGAATTGCAATCGAAGCTTCAAAATAAAGAAAATTTAGAAGAACATATCGATTTTGAAGTCTTAGATAAAAATATTGCCGAAACAGTATTCAATTTCTTTCATGGTGGCCCTCAAATTTTACGTCCAATGCTTGCTGATCCAAAGACTCAAATTGGAACAGTAATTATTTACCCAATCAAACTTTCATTTATTTTCGACAAAGATTCTTTCGTCTCTACCGTCCATCCATCTTGGGCACTCGAAGACATCAAGAAGACGATCGGCGCTAAGCATAAGTTTGACCCTTCGACAGCTACATTTCTTTCAGATTCTACGAATGTAGTTATTCCTGATGATACGACAGCTCAGAAGATTATCGAGCTCTTTGGCCCTAAGATCCAAATTTCTCTACCAGGTTCCCTGAAAATGAACCCAACTCAACATGGAAAAACATCTTCAATTGGCTCTGTCGGATCCATCCCTGCCACATTGAGAATGTCCACTATTGCTGAAGGTAGCATTTTCAGTGCTTTCCTCCAATGCTTATGCAGAATTCCTGCTTTCAAAGAAGCTGTCAATCAAATTACAATTCCAGCAACGCCAAATGAAACAAACGATACTCCTCAGATTGCTTTTGTTAGGTATTTCAGAGAAATTTGCCAAAACCCAACAGCTCAGTTTCCAACAGAATCTTCTCCTATTTCTAACGCTTTCAATACCGCAATTTACATGAGAACCGACGAAATTAATACAATCAGGCACTTCGAGTTACCCGGTCTTCTTTCAATTGTTTTCAGAGAAATTAATTGCGGAGTCGATTTATTCAAATTCAAAGAGCAAAGAACTGAGCTCTGCCCTAAGTGCAAATACTTTAACCAATTCGAGGTCGAATTAACATCAATGATGGTCGAAATTACAACGAAGTTATTCAGAAAAACTAAAATCGAAGATTGCATTGCCCAATACTTCTCTCTAAGGAAACGTGCTAAAACAAACAGATGGGAATGCCCACAATGCAAGAAGAAGGTCCTCGTTCGCGAACAAAACAAGAGTTTGTCAACTCCAAATATTTTAGTTATTTACATTCACAGATTCGTTAAAGGATCTTCCCATGACTTTAATATTCTTCCGGATGAAGTTATCTACGGCCCGACTCTAAACTTAGAGCCATTTACTGGCAATAAAGCAGATAAGTACAAATTGATCGGCTCGATCGCTCACGTTGGCCGAACTTTCACCCAGAGATATAAAGGATTCATCCTAGAAGAAGATGGAAAGAAGTGGACTATGTATAACGATAACAGATCCAGACCAGCTACAGCTCGATCTGTCTACTTCGAAGAACCTCTAGCTATGGTGTATGTTAGAAAATAACTTATTTGTTAATTATAGATTGTTAATTTTGTTTTCCTAAAAAAATTGTTAATAATTTACTTTCATTAATACAAATATCTTTTATATTACTAATTGACAAACTAAAGATTGCCTTTGTTTTCAATTAACATTCCGTAGAAATCGAATTGGATTACGATAACATAGAAACCTGCAAAAATTCCAATGAAAATCTGTTTGTTGTTGAATGTACTCTTGATTTCGGAACTGTAAAAAGTTTAATTTTTCCAAATTTTTTTCAAATTTCAAAAAATGAAAATCAAATTTAAGGGTTTCGTTTTGCTAAAATTGTCACTTTTATAGCATATTTGTTTTTGGATGTTTTGCGAAACCAAAAAAAAAACTATGATATACAATGTGTGTGTAAAGAAAATACTTTATTTACTAGTTAAAAAATCATTTGGTATTGATCAAGTTTTTTTTTCTGGATAAGATATTATATGGATAATTGGATAGAAAATACAATTATATAATCTTGTACCTGGTTTAATTAAGCTAATTGTCATCAGAAACTTGTAATTTTTATGAATTTCAGATTTTCTTTTCATTACTGCTTTTCTTAATAGGTCAAGTTCTTATTTACGTTATAAAGTATGATATTTACAAATATCAAGTTATCATGTTTTTTGAGAAATTATGAGAAACAAACAAAAATGAAAAAGATAGGAATAGCAATGAATAGTGATGTGGGTATAGAAAATGTAAGAGATATGAATGCAAAGCAATCAGTATTTAGGATATTGACCATAGATTTCGAAAAAAAAAATGCTGCATATTGAGCGAAAACTATGATTATATTATAAGGCTGTCATTTAAAGCATAATGAAACTATTCCCTTTTCATTTTAATCGAATAAGATAGTAAAGATTTTTGAATTAGCTAGAAACTGATGAGATGTTTTCACAAATCAGATTTTTAATCTCTATAATGCATAATTCACTCAATATCTCAAATTTGATATTGCGAGATATTTTTGCTATCGGTTTCGCAATTTTGACACAATAGCAAGAGGGTTCTATAAGCATTATTATCAACGTAGAATCTGAATATCATATCAGAAAATGTCGCAAATCTAACATTTACCCGACCAAATAGCAAAAATAATTGAATACTTTTCGCAAAAACTTTAAAAATCGATAAAAATATGAAATATAGATATTAAAGAGATTTTTTATATAATATTCATAAAGATTTTCCAAAAATATGATACCGCAAAATTAAAAAAGTGACGTCTTGAGTGGAGTCAAAGGTCGAAATTGCTAGCTAAATGTTTTTTTCGCGAAATTGCGTATTGTACGTTTTTTCGCAAAACGAAACCCTTATCAAAAAAAAAAAAAAAAAAAAAAAAAAAGGTAGTGGGGCTTCCAGGCACTTCGTGCCCTCTAGCCCCGAAGATGTTTAGTATAAATGAAGTTTTTATTCGGAAAATTGTTAGTCTTCTGGTGTGAATTCGGAGGACTCTTCTTCTTCCTCCATTGCTTCTGGGAAGAAGCCTTCTTCTGGGTCGAAAACATTATATAATGTGTCGCTTTTCACAAATTATATATGTTTTCATGTTTTGTCACTTTTCTGTCACTTTTCGGGTAAAAACATTTTTATTATTATATATAAATGAATTTTACAAAACCACCGTTACCGTTCTTTGGAAATAAGAGTAAATGTAAAGATATTATATTGAGAGAACTTAAGAAACTACCGAATGGTCTAACATTTGTAGATTTGTTCGGTGGAAGTTTCTATATATCCCATTTGTGCCATACAATATTCCCAGACTCAAAGATTATATGCAATGACTTCGACAACTATATGAACCGTCTCAAACATATTCCAGACACAAACAATATATTGAAAGAGTTAAAAGAAAAGATACCTATAGGTAAGATGGAACGTATACCATTAGATAAGAAAAATATTGTGAGAGAGGTTTTGAAAAAAGCAGAATATATAGACTGGGATAGTATATCTGCTAGACTATTATATAGTGGTTCTATAAGAGTTCATGACATTGAAACACTTATGTCAAAAGTTTTATATCTTAACTATACAAATGTTTTCAAAGAGGACATAGAAAAATATATTGAGGGTATAGAGTTTGTGAGATGTCATTGGACAGAGTTGTATGAAAAATATAAAGACAAGGAAAATGTTTTCTTTATAGTGGACCCGCCGTTCTTTAACACATGGGATTTTCAATACCAAGTAGACTGGACTTTGAGAGACTCTTTAGAAACTTTAGACGTTATACATAACCATCCATGCTTTTACTTTACATCCGATAAAAGTGGTTTGGAAACCGTTATGAGATGGTTAGAGGACATACATGACTATGAGTTTAGATATGACAAGATAGAATATGAGAGAGGTCCTATAAACCGGAGAAAGTGTCATAACAAAGAAATTTTATTAGTAAGTAAATGTGGTTTGAAATCGGACTACTTGTTTTAGGTTTTTTCCATTGTGTCATTTATTTATTTGACGTGGCAGAAAAGTACAGAGAATATGAAGATGAACCAATGCCTGCAAATGTTCAGTATATGTACTCGTAAGAGATATTTTTATCTAATATTAAATGGACGCACAGAACTTAGCGAATGCACAGCAACCTGGACAACCAAACCAGAGAATATTCCAAATGAAGTTAGAATACAAACTGCAATGGCAAACTATGGTCAAGTGCCAACAGATGTACAAATGCAAACTGCCATGTCAAATGACGCTGCGTTAGGTTTGCCACCATGGTATGCAAATATGAGATGGAAAGAGTTTATACAAACCCTGAGGTGGGATATAAACAACTTTATGCAGATGACGCGAACACAGGAGTTGACCCAGAATATGTTTTCTACCAGAGGAGAAACAGAATGTATGAGCTCCAGTTAAAGAATGCTATGGAACTCAACAGGAAACGTAAGAGACTAGGCGGACATTAGATTTTTACATATAGTAAAATGGGTTTCTTCAGTAAGATAGGAAACTTCTTTCGAAATGTTGGAAGAGGTATATGGAATGGAATAAAAACCGTAGGAAGAGGAATTTGGAACGGAGTCAAAAATATTGGTAAAAGAGTAGGTCAGTTTGTTGGTATTATACCTAAAGACCCTGAACCAGAAGAACAAGCTCCTGTTATACAACAGCCTGAACCTGCACCACAGTCTAGTTGGCAACCAAATCCAACACCTCAACCGTATTAAAAAATTATATTTTTACCGTTCGATAGTAGTTGTATATGAAACTAAGTTCTAAGTAAAACGCATGGTATAATGGAATTATTCTTTTTCTTCCATCTGTAGTAAACCATACTTGAAAGTCTGAAATACTTCCACTTGGTGGTTCGTATAACTTTGTAGGTTTTTCGTAAAAATCATTTGCCAAGCATAAGAAAGAGTTTTGGGCGCCAGAAAAATGAAGCATGAACAATAATAGCAGCTGGGTCGAAAACATCTTTAAATAAATATGGTTCATCTCTTGCATATCGACTGTAAATATTTGCTAAAGGAAGTTCGACTTTCTGATTTAACATTCTTTGCAAATAATACCATGACATTGCAGTGAATTCTGTATATATTTGTTCGTCTTTATTTGGATTGTTTTCGTAGATTTGAAATGACACTTGTGAATTTTGTTTGTCATATACAATTCTCACATAAAGTGTGCTCTCGGTATTTGCATATTCATCAGCATATTTTGCATAACATGAATTTATTTTATCTTCTATATTTTTTAACGCAGTCTGTAGAGAAGATGAAAGGTCAACTTGTATTAGCTCAATTTCTTCCACATTTTTCGTTTCCCTTCAGATATATAATCTATATGAAACCTTACAATAAATGGAAACTTTTATCTTCTACAGACACAAACTTCATTCTACGAAAGCCAATAGCTTTTGTGACAGATGGGTCTCTTAGCCATCTTAATGGGTAGTCAAAACGATAGCCTTCATGCTTTACAGTCTCTGTCTCAAACTTTTGACCGACATTAGTAAAAAGTTCATCTAATGGTTTAGTTGTAGCAACTCTTGAATTTTCTTTTTCTATTGGAAGCATATTTTATCTAGAATAAAAATGTCGAAAGATATTGCTTCCATGAGAGAAATACAACACAACCGACAACTCATTATGCAAGCTCTAAATAAGAACACAACAAATTTTCAAACTATTCTAAGATATCTGAGTCATTGAAAGAAGGAAACTTAAAACTGACATTAAACCAATGACAGATGAGTTTCTGTTTCAAGACAATAAGAACCATACTGTCTGTATAAATCCAACAAAAGGAACTTTAAACGAGAAACCTATAAATGAACTTCTTTTGAAAACAGATGTTGACAACAAAGCTGACAAAGAATATGTAGACGATGCAATAGCAAAGAAGAAGAAAGAGCTAACAATGCTTATGCAACAAAAGAACATACTCATCCTGAACTAGCAGACAAACATATGTTGACAATAAAATGTCAAGTGAAGTGACAAGAGCTGAAACGAATATTCTAAAAAGACTCATACACATTCTATATCTGAAATAACAGACTTACAAGAAACCTTAAACAGTAAAAGTGCCGTTGGACATACACATACCATTGCAAATATTACAAACTTACAAGAAACCTTAAACAGTAAAAGTGACGTTGGACATACACATACCATTGCAAAATTACAAACTTACAAGAAACCTTAAACAGGAAAAGTGACGTTGGACATACACATACATCTTCTGAAATAACAGACTTAAACGTTAGCCTTGAAAAGAAAGCAGATAAAACATATGTCAATGAAATATACCAAAGTTTGATAGGAACAACGAAAAATATTGAAACTATTGTTGGTGACTTTTCTGTCAATGAAGAAAACAAATATTTTAGATGGGAGTTTGTACACTCCTTAAAAAATGGTATACGGTATAAACTCATTCGAAAAATAACAATGAAATGTATGTAGGCTATATAAAGAATAATGGTACACAAGTTAAAGTTCCATTAGACAACA